TTATTTGGAAACTGGATTTTAAATGTAATATGATCATCTAAGGCTAAACCAAGGATAATGAAACATTTAAGTGTGACAAGTAAGCAATAACAAAAAAATTATATATATAAGGGGGTAAATATTTTACTCACAAAACTGCATTTTTCTTAGCATCAATGAAAACCTTTCTGATTCATTTACTATGTGAAAACAAAATTCTATACCCCCACTGTTTTAGCAATCAGGTAGAGCTTTTGATGCATCAACTGCTCGTAGCAGTGTCCAATTTCTCAAGATAGTTTAACCACTGCCTGAATTAATGGCTTCTTTTGACCTGCAGAGTCAGAAGGTAATAAAGTGGAGAAGTTAGGAGGTGAACGTTACACACTGGCTTGGGACAAAAACAGAAAGGCAATGAACGTTTACTGAGGTCCATTTGTGTGGACGTAGGGCAAACTGCCCCACTCGCAGGTCGGTGCAACTTGTCAAGTTTTGATTAATCACTGTGTGAAACCTGATCGAGAACAGGAGTGACTAATGACCTGTGTATGGCTGCTGATTTAATCAATCAAAAAAAGGCTTTAACCTTGCCAATACTAGGGTGAAACAGAGCCATACACACAAACACACACTTACACACACAGACCTATTTCAATCCCCAAGACAAGACTATGAAATTCTATGATTCTCTACAAGCTGCTTGTACAGATTCATATGACAATCGTACACGGTGGACAGAAAAGCAGAAGCCATCTGTGAAAGCAGAAGAAAAAAAAAGATGACATGCTATATAGAAATGTAGGCAAGTAATCCACTTTTCCCACCACTTTAAGCTCTTACTTAACAAGAAATAATTTACCACACAATTTGTTACACTCCTCCATATGTATAAAAGACAAGCCTGTTTTTCCTTTTTCACAGTAGTCCATTAGTACTTATACAATAGCGCCTAAAGAGCTTGGAGCCAATTTTTGTGCAGTTGTTCAGGAAAAAATGAGAGCAAAGAGCAAATCTGTAGGGGTACTTTGATCTCTATCACTATTTGTATTTTTTATATTTTGATAGTTTAGATTTTCATACTGAGCAAAACCCTGACCTAATATTTTTTCTAGATTTATATTCATGTCAAAAATAAGCTACAAATTAATGATCCTACTGTACCAGCCAACAGCAGATTTGGAATGGATATTGTGGAAATCAAATCTGTAACACATCCTTCAACTGCAAAAGGTTTTAGCCATGTTCAGATTATTGGACCACAGCCTAACTGTCTAATTAGGAACAGTCCATGTGCATTCTTTACCCCCCAGTTTGGAATTGTACATTTTTAGTCTATTTCCTGAGGTTTCTACCAACAGATCAGGACTAAAGCTGAGGGTTAGATTTATATCAAGTGGTAAAATCTTGTAGACTTGCACAGTTTGTCGCTCTATCATTAGCAACGCCCCCTAAACTGTAGAGTCGATGGCTGGTAAAGGACATGTACAGTACAATATATCGATCATGTAAAATTGATGGGAAGGACAAAACTGTTCCAAAGTTAACAAATCAAGCACTTGGTGATATATCTGTGAGGATTGTCAGTCATCCAGGTCATGGTCGAGCTCAGTTAGTTCAGTTTAGTCAACTAGACGTGAAGTTTTCCTCTCTTGAAGAGGGAGTTAAGGAGCCATCAGATCCCCCTAATGACAATTACACCCCCCAGGTGACCTCTATGGCCAAACCAGTAGGAGGGATCAGAGCCACCTTTTATTTTTTCTCCTAATTCTTTTGTTACACCTACAGTATAGTGCTCCCTACTAACAGAACTGAATAAGCCTCTTGGATGAGATTGTAAATGGCATGTACTTATATAGCGCCTTTATTCAAGTTCGGAGACTTGACCAAAGCACTTTATACTACATCCATTCACCCATTTACGCACACACTCACACACTGATGGTGGCAAGCTACATTGTAGCCACAGCTGCCCTGGGGCTCACTGACAGAAGCGGGGCTGCCGTACACTGGCGCCACCGGGCCCTCTGACCACCATCAGTAGACAATGCAGGTGAAGTGTATTGCCCAAGGACACAACGACACTGAAAGTCGGAGTCGGGGCTTAAACCGTCAACCCTTTGATCTCAGGGCAAACTCCTACATCCAACGCCACTGTCGCCCCCTCAGAGGTGAAATGTCTTGTATAAAACTTCACGTCTATTTGCCTAAACTGAACCTTTAAAGCATTACTTGGTGAACATGATCTTTGATAACCTCCCTTTAATCTGTTAATTCTAAATAAATTCCAGCACAATCAGTTGCTTTCAGAAGCATTCTCATTAGTTTAATTAGTCCAACATTATGTATTTTCATCTAAATTTGAAAACAACTACTCTTTAAAAGCAGAGTTGCATTATGAGATTTTATTAAATTTAAATTTAGCATCCTTGAATGTCTCACAGATCATCATGAAATCCATCTTATGAAATTAAAACGAGTATGCAGTGATTACAAGCCTACCAAATCTCTACAATCCTCGTAGAAATTTTGGCCTAGTAGGTAAAGTATAAATTATAGACCCAATGATAGAGTAGATATTCATTCATTTCATAAAAGACATTTTAACTCAACATGGACAGGAAGTTGGTAAAAAACAAAACAACAAAAAACATGTACTAGCAGGGCACTAGTCAGACAAGACAAATATTTTCCTATTCAACCTAATATTACTCATCTCCCTGAAAGCAGGATCCACACAACGAAACACAACAGTGGCAGGATCATGCTGTTGGGATGCTTTTTCTCTATCCCCAAGACTTTAATTGTTCCAGGAGAAGGCTTCATAGAACTGACTAATATTTAACTTTGTTTATCCCTTGGGATTACTACTTCAGGGAAATTCTGGTTCAAGGAGCTTATATAGTGTACAAATGACAAAATCTGTTTAGGGAAAGAATGTGGTCCATTTACCTCTTTGTAAGGCCGTTTCTCAATATGTGTACTAGTGCGTTCTCATGTCCTTGAAAGTACTGTTCCAATTAACGAGAACACAGGACCGAGAACAGACAAAGTCCCCGGATGTTTTTCTCGCCCCTCCCTATTTACCGAGTATGCATCAGAGCAGACATGTCCGTTCTTGAGATTGACGGCTGTCCCAGCATGAACTGTGGAAGCAGCAGCTTCCAGTAGAGCGCTCACAGAGCTCAGAGTATTAAGTTAAAGTTCTCTTTTCTTTGCCATTGTTCTATAAATGTACGTTTTAAGACCATTTGAGGAGAGAACATTATACTTTTAAGCATCACTATATGGCCCATTTACTGATTTAGTGCATAATTTAAAAAAAGTTCCAATGTTGAGAGGACCGCGGCAACCAGCGGAGTTAAAAGGCTAACAGCAGCCATGGCGCCCATCTGCAGGAACCCTCTCTCGGGATAGCCGTGTGTGAAGTAGTGTTGGCTCTGATCGCGAGTTTTTTGTTTAATTTGGCAAATGTTCAGTTGATTTGTGTTTATCTGGTTGCGATATTATTCCCCCACATTGAACATGTTTTTTTACTATTATCTAGAGACAATTAATAACAGGAGGTGAAATGCAACTCCAGATGAGCCGAGCGCGTGGTGACATCATGAGTATGCTTCTGCTCCAATTGACCTTTTATTTATGCTGCATCCTCCCATTCTCCCTGAGTCTATACTTTCCTCTGTTCTTCTCAAGAACATACCCAGTGAGGACACAGTGAGTCCATACTTGCATTCTTGTGAATTGAGAAACGGCCTGATTTTTGGTTGGTTTTTGAATAAGATTTGATTTTAGTGTCATTGCAAAGTTCCACCAGCTACAATGTCCACTACAACTGGCATTGTTTTTGCGTCTGGTGGGTGGGGCTAAACTGAAGGCTCCTTCACTAATTTTGCTTCCATGTTGAAGTGAGCTTCTGTTCTCCTTTAAATAAAGTTCATCACTTAGCTTAGTTTAAAATTAAGCTTACTAGATATCTTGACGTTTTATACAGCCAAAAGTTAATACTAAACGAATTAACAACCTTATTTTGTGGTTTGTAGGCTGCCTTAGTGGCGCATTGGGTAGCACTGCTGCCTTGCAGCAAGAACGTTCTGGGATTAATTTCTACATGGAGTTTGCATGTTCTCCTTTAGCATACATGGGTTCTCTCCAGGTACTCTGGCTTGCTCCCACAGTCCAAAAACATGACTGTTAGGTTAAATGGCTTCTCTAAATTCTCCTTAGGTGTGAGTCTGTGCATGAATGGTTGTTTGTCATGTCTCTGTGTTGTCCTGCAATGGACCGGCAACCTCTCTCAGATGTACTCTTCCTCTCGCCAGCTCTCAACAGATCTCGAGCTGTCGTCACCTTTTGACAGCTAGAGATAGGTACCAGCGACCCCACTTGGGATAAGCGTGATGGAAAATGAATGGATTTTGTGCTTTAGCAATGGCACTTGAACTGGAACCCTCCATTAGCTTGTCGTAGGTAGTCCGCGAGGAGTACCAGAAAAACGAGAGGATCTTGAAGGAGCCTTCATTTTAGTCCCGCCCACCAATAGAAAAACAGTGCCAGCTTCGATGACATTTTGCAGGAAATTAATCTTTAATCGATCAAAACTACTACTATTCTGTGACCAATAATAGACTCAACAGATGCATTCAAAAACACACTGATGAAGGGTCGGTTTTATGTTTTATTCCAAAAATTTCAAAATAAGCTTCAAGTTCAAGAAAGTAGAATAAGCTTAGACACAATGCAAAGCATCATATACAGACGGATAAAATACATTTTATATATTGCAGACAAGCCATGGTGGGTCTTACATATGTACAGTATGTATGTAAACTTTTATATACAATCGTTTTTACAAATTAAAAAAGCTTTGCTTCTATTTTTCTTTGTGTATATATATGTATATTTACATATACATATATATATTTATATATTTGTATATAGATAGATTTTTTTATATATTCCCCACTAGCATTTGTACTACAATAATGAAAAAGAAAATCATTTACATATTTGTAAATCCATTTTCTCTTTTTATATTACAAATGTATTTTCATAAAAATATATCTCTGTACAAAAAAAGTTAGATTTTTTTTTTTATTTGTTAACATATTTTTCTCAGAGACACTTTCCCTCTGCAGATGCTCCGTTGACACACAGTTCATGTTTGTCAGCTTCTTTACAAGTTTCCCTTTTGGTGTGCAGCAAGACATATTTCTTTGCCCTTCACTATATTGTTCTGTTGAGGCCTTCAAGAGCCATGTCGATCCCACTTAGGTGCCACGACTTTATAAATTTCAGTTTCACAAAGAAGCTGTATGAGAGAGCAACAGCAAACAAACCAAAAGTTGAGAAAAACACAGAAAAGATGCAACGTCATACTTCTTTGAACAACAAATAGGAATGTAAAGTTGCGGTAAAAAGAAATAAAAAAGGAGTTTTCTTTTTAAGTATTGGACTTAAGAATTTACTTCCATAATCTTCCTTTCAACACTAAAACAATCTAACAATACGTTGGTTTCAAATATAAAACAGTGTAGAAAGTAAACATCTGATGTACTCTAATAAAATAAAACACATTCATCAGTGGAGGAGCGGTGGTTTAAGAGATTAAATAATCTATCTAAACAAATTATTTAACTAAGTTAGAGTCAAGATTTGCCATTTTTCATACTATAAATTTGAAACTGAAGAAATTCCAACATCATCAGAGAATGTATCACTTCAGTAATAAATAAATAAAAACAAATGTATTACACAGTGATTGAATTCAAGCATATATTTAAGGTAATTGTGATGATTTTTACTGAAAAAATAAGTTTTTTTTATCACTGAATATAGGGACAGATTCTTTAAGATGTACGTTTTGATCTACACAATTAAGACTGTCGAATTTCAGCATATAGTCACCGATGCCGTCAAGGATAGAAAGCCACATAAGTTCATTGCTAAAGATGGCAGTTCAGAGTTCTCTATTCAACCATGTTCTTTGAAAGCTCAGTGAACGGGAAAACATCTTTGAAGCAGAATCTATTCAGGAGTTTGGGGGAAATGTACCTGCCATAGATAGAACCTGGAGTTGGTGCTTTAAAATGTATCCCTGCTTTTGATGGGCTATCGTCAAGAAAAAAAATAAAAGAGAGATAATGCTGACAAGTTGAAGGCTTAACAGACCTTGACTTCATTAACACTTCAAGAGTCCAACAGCCTGATCGCTTCTATAGCATATGTTGCAGTGATTTATGCGTAGGAGTCCAGGCCAACTGTTAGAGGGATTCACTGTACAATATGTCACCATACTTTTTAAATGGCCAACATTTTGCTTTAGAGACACTGAATTTTGTATGTATGTATCCTTTAATGGCATGCAATAATCATCACAATCAGCAAAAATACATGCTTGAAACAAGTGTAGAACAAAATATATAGATTCATAACATAATTCTAATTTATTGGAATTGAGGTGCACCTGTGTTTCCCTTGACACATTGAAATGGACCGACAGGTAAAAACAAACTGAACAGCTTTGGGTGTTTTTTTTGTAGCTATTAATATGTGTTGACAGTGAAAGATGGGAGATTATAAATGATAGCTGCTGCAGAGAGTGTCACTCTGAATAACTGATGGATTGCTTGTTTTCTTTTTTTACTGCATGCAGAGTGTGGCCTGTGTTGAAAAGTCAGAGCTCTTGCTGAAGAGAGAGAGAAGACGGAGGCTTTTGCTCTGCTCCCTGACTGAGAGGAAACTCGGTGAACTCAAAGACCATAGCTGTGGCATGTTACATTATAGAAGAGATGGCGAACAGGATGGGGACTTGGAAGCTGTGTGGGGCTGATAACTAAAATGAGCCAGAATGAACAGAGTTAGTGATTTAAAATATTAAAAAAAAGAAGCACGCATTCACCAGCTGCTATCAAGGAAGGCTGAGTTCTAACTGTTGCAGCTCAAACCGACCCTCTATGATTCTCATTTTCATTTAACTGTAGTGAAGTGAGAAGCTTTTCAGCAATGTAAGTTGGATTTAATGGTAAACACCTCAAAAGAGCTAAATCCTAATTGTAAAGTTATATTTCTGCACTATTTAACCCATATTTCTTTCAAGAAAGTTTGCTTCCAATTAAAAAGTAGAAAAAAAGTTTTTTTAATTGGATCCATTTGGAAATTTTTGTTTGATTCACAAAGCAACCTCTAAGCAATCGACGAAAAACAGGAGTGAAAAAAGGGAATCAAGCAGACAACTTTCTGTATATTTATTCTTGTGCATCAAACCACGGAGATAATAAGGCAAAATGGATCTCTACTCTGACATCTTTAGAAGCTATGTTTCCTCCCCCCGTATGATCAAATCAACAGGAGATTTTCTATCAATTGGGGCTGTCAGCCAGAGACTCGGCTTGGTTTGGAATATCGGAATGATATGTAAACCCATGCAAATATGTTTGCAAAAGAGCTGCTAAAGTGGAGTGGTGATTTTATGGGTTATGGCAAGGCACTACAATGAACATAAAGTGCTAATTGAAACTGGAATAGATAAAGTCATATTTATTATCTGACATTTCAATGACTGTTTCTCTACTTTCTTTAAAATGATCCCATCTTAATAGAATCATTCACATGAAGTCCATTGCTGGGTTATAGTTGTTGAGTCATACAGCACAATTCAGCTAAATAGAATCAGTTTTTTTAAGGGAAATTTGAGGTGATAGTAGCATTAGCTACTTAACTTACTGCACCAATTTTAAAGAAGCGTGGGAAAAGTTGCCATTTTAGAATAAATTGAGAGGAAAAGCTCCTCCAAAGTGGCTTGAACGGATATCTAATAAAGCCATAATATTCGCTGAAATGTTTGAGTTTTGATTTAAAGCCAAATAAACGCACCATCCAACTACTGCAGAAAACTGTAAGAATTGGACACGGGTGTCCTCGGGATTATATGAATGTAACTGCTCTTCTCTCTGTGAAATCTCCAGGGTAATTCAATCATTTCCCTTTCTATCGTTTAAACTCCAGAGGAGGAAAATGGACAAATATTATACTGAAACAGTCAAGATAAACGAGAGCCTTAAAAGTAATAAAATTGTCAAAGCAATTACTGAACCACAGTGAAAATGATTGAGGGAACAACGCAGCTATTGGATTAAAGGGACTTAATTTCTTTGAAAAAAAAAAATAAAAAATTCTTTTTGAGTTGTATTTCCCAGATTTTCAATTATGCAAAAAAATAAAAAAGAAATTAATTCGGTTTAGGTATTCAATTATTTGTTTTTCTGCACTCCAATGCTCTATTCTGTAAGTAAAGACATGCTCAATATTATTATAGGTTTAATGGTTTCTCAATTTGACAGCTAAATAACAAAAAAAAAGCTAAATGTAAAGGCTCACCTTCTATCAGGGAAATTCAAGCACGATTCACCCCATTGAGCACCGTCAGGGTAAACAGGTCTACAAAATGGGTCATAAAAGTCCTCTCAATGGAACCCAAAGCACAAAGCAGATTCCCACAGATACATTTGATGAAATTCCCCCTTTTTGTTGCGGAGAAAAAACAATATTTTCCTGTAATTTTCTCCCAAGCAGTGTGAGATAAGGAGTGTTAGAATTACAGGCATACATTTTTTTTCCCTATATCATATTTATCATTTCCAATTTAATGCGCGGCAGTAATCAGTATGCTAGTGACTCCCCCGCTGTCACAGCCTGGAGCAAGCAGTCTTCAACGTTTTTATGATGAGCAAAAAAAGACAAAACAAAAGAAAGAATCTTCTTCTTTAAAGGATGGGGCTGTCAGAAGTTATCTGGGAGGGAAAAGCCCTGAACCTAATCCACAGGGAATGGAACAATGACTGATACGCTTTTCAAGCTCTGATGCCTTCATTTGAACATTTTTAAGAAATTAGAATATTTATAGAATGGGTTTTTTTTTCCTAAGGCCAGGTGTACAGAGCTATTAATATACCTTAAGGGGACAGTAAAGACTCTGCAATGGTTTTATTTTCATTATGTTCTCACTTACTTCTGATTGTATGTTGAAATGTGCTAAGATTATATTTGAGGTGAAAGAAAGAAGCAGATAAGATGGAACCTCCATTATAGTTTGACTTGAACATTTTAAGATTTTGATGCTGTAGTAGCGTATATAAACTGTCTTACTTTTTACAAGACACCTTCAATTTAGTAGATTTCTGTCCTCTTCCTTCGTTAAATTTGTGGGTTGTAAATGTTAAGCTGATCTTTAGTTAACAGGATAATTTCCCACTAAAGCACATAAGTAAACCACCATCATGTTGCTGCATGAATGGCAGCATGTGACGTATCCCAGATGTTTACTGCACTCACGGTGAAAGTGGAACAGAATGATAAATTCTAGTTTGTAAATGAACTGATGCAAAAGGCAGCATCTATCTGGACAGTCTTGGTATAATAAACAATAAACCATTATATTTTCAGCTTTTCCTGTGAAATGTTCAATGCTTAATATCTGTGCAATGATTTTGTATTCAATTGATGCACATATAATATTTTGCAGAAAAAAATAAAGTAAATTTTTCCTAAAATAAGTGCATTTTTTGTTGAATTTAGCAGGTAAGTGAGACATTCTCATAAATGGAATAAGAATATATGCATTTAAAATAAGGGAAAATAACCCTGAATTCTCCTACTTCAAGTACATAATATGTTATATCTTATCTTAAGGGTAAAAGCTGCTCATCTTATTAGCAGATTATCTTATTTATCTACTCAAATTAAGGGTAAAACTACCTTTACTCTTTTTTAGATCGCTTTCTGCAGTTGTTTTATAAGTCAAATCAGCTATATTGGGGTTCCTTCTAAATTGACTGTTGTGAGCCTTTGATTGCTCTCATCTCTCTATAAACTTACTGTGATATGACATATCTCAAAAACAAACAAGAACTAAACACAAGAAAGTACTTTTCAAGAACTTCCTCTAAAAATAAAAGGGGGTAATGCATTCATCCCAAACACCATGCCACATTCAAACAGGGGGAAACAAATCTAAAGGTTGAATTTGGATAAAAAAAAAAAAAAAAAAAACAGGTGAAAGCTATTTTTTCTTTTCTTTTTGTTTTTTTTTCCCCAGTATGCACTATTCTATATGAATGAGCCATGAGTCCGTGCTACAGCTTTGCCCTGAGAGGTGGATATGAATGACAAATGAAAGTTGTCACGACTGATGTCCATAGAAATGCATCAAAGCTTCTGTCCACATTTCAAACAGGAATCATCTTTGTATCCGTAAAAAAATTTGGACACCTAATTAGGCTTCAAATAAGAAAAAGCAAAAATGAATGTATTTAATTACAGCATTCTAAATGTATAACAGAATAAAGATTGCTGCTGATTGAACATACATTCTGATTTTTTTTTGTCTCATTATGTGACCTTTAATTGATGGGTTATATTTCTTTCAATTATTGTTTTCCTGATCTTTAGCATTCCTACAATAGAATTCATCACCTATAATCGAAACAGCTGGATTTGAAGCAGGATTTTAGGTTAAAACCACCAAAGTATACACAGGTGGGCACACAGACACTCTCATCACACTGTGGTCACTAATGTCCGCTCTCTACTTCTTCAAAACAGCTTTAGCTACCTTTTAACCTCCTCTTCAGCAACAGAAATAGGAGGAAGAGCTCAAAAACAAAATATAGAAAGTGTTTTCCACATGGCCTTGAAAACGTAAACTGTCGGTCTTCAATAAAAACCTTTTGACAGCCGAAACTGTAGAGATTACAGAGAAAACAGTGCTCCCAATTACTCATCACAGAAAGCTGGCAGCATAAAACAAAAGAAACAAAAAAATCAAACAGAAAACAAAAAAGAGGGATGAATTTCAACAATCTAGGCAGTTTCTCTTTGCCTCGCACACACCAAGATGTGGCTGCCCACCACACAGTGCAGAGTTCTTTGTTAGCTACAGGTACATTTTATGACTTACACAAACTTCCCTTTGGGTTTAGGTGAAGGGCAATGAGAAAAGTCATCACAGCTTTGCCTCAAGCAGTACTCTTGCCAGCAGCAGGTTCAGATGGAAGCTTTTCCTTAGAATATGGAACATGATCAAGAAACCATGTATAGTTACAGAGAGCTGTTTCTTGTTGACCTTTGATAAAGGCGTTGCTCTCATATAGTTGCTTTGCTTGTTTCCTTCAGCTACAAGGCTCTGTGACTGAAGATGTTTCTTGAAGTTGTTTCAGCAAATAAAATAATCTTGTTCTTTCCATCTGTACCAGGAGCTATGGATGCCCTCTGCCAGCAGCTGGGGTTGTGGTGCAGCTTTCCGTCCTTAACGTACTGCAGGTTGCAACACACAGCAAAGATATTGGAATAATGAAAAAAGGGAGTGAGCGATAAGACAAAATGTACAGAAAGGATCCAAATAAAATAGGGACAAGAGAGTTATAAAGAAAATATATTTTTTAAAAGTAAACCAAAAAAAGAAATTAGTAAAATAAAAGATCAGACTACATAAGCTGAGTAAGAATAAAGAAACAGCATTTAGAAAAGTAGTTGGAAAAACAGAGTGAAGCCTTTCCCAAGCTTTACCTCTGAAGGATGGTGTCGCTATACAGCTGTGCACACTGTGCTGACTGTGAACTCTGTCTCATTGGCCATGATGTCAGTGGGTTGGATGTTGCGGTCATACATGGGGTTCTCGAACGTAGCCCGACCGTTTGTGTTCTCATGGCCCACGTAACCGTTGAAGGGAACTTTGGGTCTTCTTCTATAACAATTTAAATTGATATTTCAAGTTATAAGAATAGTGTACAATGAAAGTAGACATGAAATGATATTTATTTAGCAGTTGTGACTATTTTTTTCACATCTATATAGATTGGTGCATATACAGTGTGAGCCATACAATTTATAGCTCCTATCTTATTTGACTATATGGATTCATCATAATGCCTTATTCTAATAATAATAGGACTTGGATAATTTATTCTAAATGGAAACACAGTGCCCTTTCAAAAGTATTTATTGTGCCTCGACTTGCAAAAGAGAAGACTTTTGCAAATATTCTTTGATAATCATGTATTTTCAGCCCCTTTTGAAGGATAAAATGATCACTTTTTACTGCAGTTACACCCAGATTTTGTGTATCAACCACCTATTCCTTTCACTTACACTGGTTCAGTAGAATCTTAGTTTTTCAGTCTTGCCATATATAAATCAAATCCAGAGGTGTATATAGGTCTGAATTTTACCTCGTCTGTGTTAGTTTTACACCACACTGTGTTTTTTCTTCATGTGGACCTATAAGTTTCCTCTGACAACAGTAACTTTATGTTTCCTTTGTGGAAAACTGTTTATGGCATCCTTCTGGCTTTCTTTCATCAGTGCCTTCTGAAAATAGACTTGATGTTTTAAATACACAGAAAATAGTTTTCTGGATTCCTATCAAAACAGATGAATTGATGCAAAGATAAAGCATAAACAGGACCTCTCTGTTTATGAAATAGATGGTTTCTGTAAACAATTTTTTACTGGATTATATAGTTTGGATATCAGAGTGAAATGCATACCACAAGTTTTAGTCAAATAGGCCTTTTCCAAACTACTGCTTAAAGTTGTAAAAATTTTTGCCCTTTATCATCATATACATTTTAGTTTGACATGTATTTTTCATATTTGGCAAATGTTAAAATTTAAAGGGGTAGAAATACCTTAATATCTAGGTACTTTCACAGCAGTTTTTCTGTAATCTATGTGCATTTTAGATATACATGTATTTATTAGTGCAATTTAGTGGGATTATGCATAAAACATTACCCTAGATTACAACAAAAGGAGAAAAATAAGATCCCAGTCTTACCTGTGTTTATAGAGATAGAGAGCGAAGCCTGCAATAATCATGGCTATAAAAGGCACTAGAATGGCAGCTGCCACTGAACTGCTGTTGGAGGCAAAGTTGTAGCCTGGGTTTTCTCTACTGGGATCTAAACTCTCTGGAGAAAGAAAAAAATAAAGAAACAAAGCCATCAGTTTTTTTCAATCAATTTTTTCCCCCCTAAACAATACTTCAATAGAACCCGTTAAGCAAAAGTTGGTTTAGACATTTTCCCCTCTTATTTCTACCAAGATTGACCGTACATAGAAATGGTTTAAACTACAGTAACTTTCAGGAGCTGAATAGAGAGCTACCAGGAAGCCTCCATTTACTGGTGATAAACTATGTCGCTAAAACTGATTTATGTACTTTCTTTTGCATTTACCTCGATGTGTTAACTTCATCCTCCCCCCTTGAAAAGTCAAACTTCATTATTCCAACAATGACTCTTAATTACTGGAATCATAGGCTGGCAGCTATTAACTCATTTCCGAAGTGTCATCTAATTTCTAAAGTTGCGTGTCTGCAAAAGCAACAGTGGACGGCTGACAGCCCACCTGTTCACCACAGAATGCCAAAAGGCTCTAATAAAGGGTGGGTGACAAACAAGAAGGAATTGAATTAGGGGGTTTTGTGGTGTTTGCCAATCAACCCCAGCTGTGTAAGCATTGGTCCACAAACACACTACCGACAAATTTAAGCAGACAAACGACACTCGCTGTTACGTCGCCACTGAGTTAAAACAAAGTGCAATGTGAGGTCAAATTAAGTAGGATTATTTCCAAGATGAATAATCCACCTTCAAGATGCACATCTGGTGGTTCGCGTCCACTCATACAAATGAACATTCTGGCATCGGCACCAACTGCCTCTAATAATACAGGGTTGTTTGCTTAATAAGTCTGCTGCAACAGGGGGTGGTAGGATGCACCTGCTGCTCAAGCACCTTTCTCATTAAAGCCGATTTTCAGCTCCAATTTCTAAAGTGCATACTTTATTCTGGTTAACGCAGACTACTAAAATGCTACATTCCAAAGTACTGCTCATCTCTGCTTACAAACATGCACCAAAGAACACGGGAGGGAGGGACTTAGAGTGTGTTTTCATAATACCTTGAAAGGTTAGGAATAACCTTCCATACTGGCAAACAAAGTGAAAACACATTACTCTATATTTAATGTATAGAGTGTAATATATTGGGATATTGTGTAAACAAATCTTTTTGGAATTAATTTCACTCCTAGAAGCTTTCTTTGTCTTGCAGTTCATCATCAGGTTTTGAGCAGTAAATGTTTACCAAGCTTTTAAATATTATCTGCGTTGCCATTTCCTTTAATTACTGGAGTGTTCAGGCACTGTTTGTAAAGGAGCGACATATGAGGGATCCTGAAAGAATGACTTTGAAAATTAAGTAAAATTTTATTATGATAAATTAGTTCAATGCATATAAAAGAAAAACAGCTAATCATCTGGGGAAGGTTATTCATGTTCTCACATCAGAAGAAAAAAACAACTGTGAAAATGCTAATGAAACGTTTAGATATACCGTATTTTCCAGACCATAAGCCGCTACTTTTTTCCCACACTTTGAAACATGCGGCTTATAAGAAGGTACAGCTTTTCTGTGGATTTTTTCTAACCGCCAGAGAGGGAAGTCAAAATTGGAAATGAAAGAATAAGAGAGCTAATTTTCATTTAGCATTAGAACATGATAGCAGCAGGCACGACCGAGAATAGCTGTCCCAAATTCACACATTTTGACATGTATTTGCTGCACTAAAGCTGCTGAACCAATGAAGAGAATGGGTTCAACTCCTGCAGAGCTGAAATAAAGAGCCGACGAAGCTCCATCATTCAGTAGAAGCTCTTACTGCTGCAAAACAAAAAGCTAACAGGAGCTAGCATTCTTCTTTGTCCCTACTCCAGGGGATATATTTAGAGCTCCCCCTACAGGTTTGGTGGGAGACAGTTCAGTAGATATCAGCGACTTGCAGTATAGCCTGGTGCAGCTTATACATATGAATGTTTCCAGTTTTTTAGAAAAATGTATTGACAGCGGCTTATAGTGAGGTGCGCTCTATAGCCGGAAAATACGGTATCCACAAATAGCGTAACTGTCATCATATGGAGGCCTTTTCAGGGTACTAAAGTAATAAAGCTAATGAATGCCAGAATTTTGTTTGTAATGCAGAAATCTTAACACAAGTTACAATTTATTCATACAGTTAACATACATACATAAGAATGTTTTTCATGAGTTAAAGTTTGAGAGGAAGCTTTAGAACCCTTCAGTTAACTATGTGGGTGAAAGGCTCCTGTTGCGGTATTGCAAGTGGTATTGAGGCAATTTGTAAGTTGGGAGGAACAACAAAAATGGCGGACTAGTTTGGCTTTTCAATATGTACAGTTACACCGAAAAAACATCCATATTAGATTTCAAGTTAGGAAAAACTAAACTTAAATTAAGCCACTGTAACAGGAAGCCTAAATGCAACCACTATAATCAAAAGAGATTCTGGCTAAAAAAGGGGCCACACATCCATCCATGACATTACTGGTAGATGGTCAAAGGCAGAAAAGATTAGGTTGAGCTGTAGTGTAGACATTAAAGCTTGAGAAGCTCAAATTACACTTTTAATTTCTACGGCTCAATGTGTTAGGACTTCGCAGAGAGATTGTCCGCAATGCGGACTAGGAAAAATTTTAATTACGTGGACAGCTTTGCACAAAAAAACATGGTATGTGAGCAACAGGTCGTAGCGGCGAAAGATTGCAAAGCTTATGATTTAGTTTATAAAAATGACCAAAATCAACAGATTCAAATTGAATCTTTTGGAATTAAATTACTGCCACTCTTGAAAAAGTTAAAAATGGTCATGTTTTCTACTTCCCTGTCTAGCATTGTAAGCTTGTTATGTGTACATGTAGAAAAGTTGCATAGACTATAAAACTGTAGATGTTGTGTCTGAGCTTTTTTTTTGCAGATGTATGTGTGAAGCATAAACCACCCTTCAAACAGACATTAGGAGTTTTGAATATATGAATATGTTTGAGCCTGTATGTTTTGACACCGTGTGGAAAAGGGACAATATACAAATCATTCAGACATACATAATTGAAACTCATGTTCAAACCCTTTTAAAAAAACTGTTCAAATACAATTAATGTCTCACATGAGCAATATTATTTAATATGTTATATTTACAAAAAAAAAAATATATATATATATATATATATATAAATAGTGTTCTTAGGTGCTGATATAGCAAAAGAAAAATACAGGAAGCAGACTTTTCTTATGAAATCACTTTTTACAGGTCTCTGTAACCAAGAGGAAAGTTCACTCACCCAATCTCTGGAGACCAAATTGGCCAAAGCCTTTTCCTCTGACAAATCCCTGGTACACAAAAGAGTTAGAAGAAGAGATGTAGGACACCTAGTGAGAGAGGAATGGAGAAGAGACATTTTGTGTGTCACATCATGGCTGTACAAAGGGGAGCATCATCAAAGTGTCAGCAGTTGGTTCATGCAGAAAATGAAATATCATGTCAAAAAGAGCTGAGAAGTACTCTTACAGCTGGCATTTCATGTGCTGTTTCTCTGCCCAAGATCACAAACAAACACACCCCATCACACGGTACACAAAAAAAGAGTTTCACACAAGAGGAACACTCTAATTTAGAGTAGAAACCCTTAAAACTCTTCTGTGCACATCTTGTAAAATAGCACATAAAAGCAATAGAATTCACGTGTACTGTGACCTGTTTTCTTTAATTAAATCAGAAATGCGTGTGTTAGAGGTGCCCGGGGTTGGGGGTAATATGGGAGAGGGGAGCGAGGGGGTCTGTCAAGTCCTGATTACCGAGCAATGATTTAACTGACATTTTAATTAAAGAGAAAACTCTCAGTGGGCCTTCCATCTCCCTAGAGTGACAAGGTTTGTGTGGATGTCTTGTGCATGGCTTACTATGAAGATGTGTGTGTGTGCAAATGTTTAAGATTTAACATCTTTACAGAGACAAAGGATAGTGTTGTAATGAAGCAGACTTTCTGCTTGCACTTACGTGTCCATCCAGGGCCCAATTGTCTATTTTGAACTTGTTCACAAAGATCTCTACAGGGCCTCTGATTTGGTGGACTTGTAGCATCAGTTGGGCCTCCTCCCTCTTATACACTCCTAAAGTAAAAAAAAAAAAAAAAGGTTGACGGATTGGCAAGACATTTAAAGCTTTTTTTTGTCTTTTAAAGTGAAAAATACAAAGCAGTGAGTCAAAGGAATACTTAAATAACAAATCTTTACAGGAGCATTTTAAGGTGGTGTAAATTTAGTTCTATGACCTTGTTTATTCACACAGACATTTTTAACATACAGACACCTTAAATTCCTGTTTGGCTAACCCGGAACGCACTAGGACATGCTTGTATGATAATGATGTTAACCAGTAACACGTTTCTATAAATTACTTGGTACTTACCTGCTAATTTAAGCTCAACCCCACTGTGGTCAATCAGCGTCCCATTAACTCGATTGCTAAAAGGTTCAAAGGCAGTGATGCTAAGCATGGCTGGCTGCTTCTTTCCCAGGTACTCGTAGGAACCCCTCCAGAGGGAGTTTTTAGCAAACACACCACCAGGGACTGAATGAAACATAACAGTCAAAAACAGTCAAAAAAGAAAAGTGGGAAGTTTTACTTTGTCAAAGACGTTGTACACCTCAAGACAGACTGAAATCAAATTATGGGGTCTTAACAGACTATAAGAGTATTAAAATATTATAAAATGTATATTATATTACTTAATATACGATATTACTTAAACTACTAACTGTAAAACTTGTTATATTATGTTTATCCTCAATTCAGAATGACTGAAAGTGTCTTACCTGGCAGTTTAGATGGAGGCTCTTGTACAGTGCCCACTGGACTTCTACCACTTGGACGATTGTCGGCTGAGGATTAAACCAGACAAAACAGAGACCTTGAACAGAGTTTAATCTCTAGTTGGAGTCTAACTTAATGAAAATAAGTCAGACTGGTCCACTACACAATACCCAATGTTTTCTGTTTTTTGGAAAGTTCGTTTATTCTACTCATTAGTCAAAAAAATAAAATAAATAAATAAATCAACACCAGCCATTAAAAATGTCAAGTAATGGTAATGGACATCATGAAATAGACAATATTAAGGATAGCAGAAGAAATATGTTTCTAGACTTTGTGTCATGATCTTTGCACTGATGACTGGCTTGATTGCTCACTTCATTCTCCTGCCTAGCTCCGCCCACTTTCTGATTACCACTCATCATGTCCCCCTGTTCCAGTTTCTATTTTTAACTGCTTGCTCCCAGTCATCAGTGCCAGATTATTATTGAGCCTTTTGTGTGAGAATTATTCCAGTGTTTCCAGTTTGTTTTCTGATTGCCTGGTCCCGAACCTTTCGTCTTTGGACCTTTGAGCCTGTCTGTCCCTGTTCGGATCTGTTAGCCTGACCTGTCTTCAGATTTTGGTTGGATTCTATTTGTGGACTGTTCCTTGATCTGCCTCCTGACTTCGCCCTCTGGATTATCCTGCCTTCGTTCATCTTCTCGGATCTGTTCCCCATGTCAGTTCTGTGATCTTCAAGGCTTCAGTATCTGGAACTCTCTGTGCAGCAACTGCTGTGTCTGGTCAGCCATCCGACTGGTATCCACCTCATTCTCTGGGCACGGACTGAACACTCAACCAGGTTAGTGACTCCCGCCTTCATACCATCTTCCATCAGGTTGTTTTGGTCAGGAACCAGTGTTTCCTCTCTCCAGAGTTTCCTGCCTCAAGCTCCTTAGCTGCTGTTTATGCAGACCTGTTTGTTTTTATAAATGCTTTTTCACTCAGTCTGTCTTGCCTGAATACTGGGTCCTTTGTTCTGAGACGTGACACTTTCCCCATGTCTTTGCCTAATATGGGAGGTACACACATGAATGTTAATAAAATATTATCTTAATACTAATGTTGCACCTATACCGATACCAGTATCGGGTGGGGCCCCGATCCAGCACTAAAATGGTGGTATTGTTATCGGCGAGTACCGAGAAATAGGGCATCGATACCATTTTGTGAGCCAAAAGTTTATTCAACTATTGTCACCCATTCTAGGTAAGCAATAAAAATTTCTACTGGATTTACTTTGTATTAGTCTTTTTATCCTGCTTCACCAAGGTAGGCAGCAGCTTGACAAAGCCATGATGGCAATTATTTTACATCCAAGTAGTATGAGGTTCTTAATATATATACAGTACACACACACACATCAATTTCAAACAGATGGTATCTGTATGGTATCGGTATCGGCCAATACAGCACAGCCAGGTATTGGGTATCGGGGCCAAAAAATAGCAACACTACTTCATACAAGGATTTTATCATGACCCTGACACACTATTTGCAACAGTAGGAGCTTCAGCTCTTCTAGAGATGCTTTCCAAAAAGCTTTAGAAGTGTATTTATGCGGAGCTTAGTTAATTCAAAGTTGGACAAGATGATTTGGCATGCAATCTTTCCTGACTCATCACATAGATGTACTATCAAGTTGGGGTCAGGGCTCTGTGCAAACCTTTCAAGTTCTTCTACATTAAACTTGCTCCATGTCTTTATAGAGCATGCTTTATGTACTAGTGCACATCCACATTAAAGCAGGAGGAGGACATTTCCAAACTGTGTCCTCAAAGTTATAAGCATGCACTCATCCTAAATGTTTTGATATGCTGACACATTAAGAACTTCTTTCACTGGAACTCAAGGACCAAACGTAAGACCCAAGTACTCATAAATAATCCCTTTGCAGCAGAACTTGCATTTGTAATAGTGCAATCAGACAAGAGCTATTCTCCTAGCAACTGGGAAAGCCAGACTTTCCAGCCAGATTGCAAGACAGAGATGTATCATTTCTCACTCCAGAGAATATGTCTCCATTGCTCCAGATTCCTTTGGCAGCACGCTTTTAAACCCGTGCATCTAACAATTTGCATTTCAACTTTGTGATGCAAGGCTGCAATGCAGCTGCTCGGCCATGAAATCCCATTGCTTCGATCCCTGTACACATTTTCTTTGAGCTAATCTAAAGGCAATGGCTTGCTTAAGGTGCCCTGGTTTTCATACATCTGTTGCCATGGAAGATATCGGACTGCTTGGATTGAATGAGGGAATGAGGAAAACTTTTTGCAAAATAACATATAATCTGCATATTTTTGTTTTCTATAAGTGTGTGACCAAGCAACATTTATCAGCAGCTTTTGATTTACTCATAAACAATCATGTTGTTTTTTTTCTTTAGTTCACACATATTATCCTGTTTTGTGCAGAACCATTCTTCCTCCAAGCATTGTCTATGAAACTATAGATACAGAGTTAAGCTTAGGCCTTTTCTGACTGATCCCAGTATACAGTACCATTGCCTAAAAATCTTTAGCCTTAAATGCCTTAAAGGCCTTAGCTTTTCTCCAGGGATATTGAGTAGCATATCTGTGAAGATTCTCAAGCATCCAGGTCATGGTCAGGCTTGAAAGGTTCAGTCTAGGCAAATAGACATGAAGTTTTGTTGAAGACATTTTACCTCTCATTCAAGAGGCTTCTTCATTTCTAACTAGTGGTGGGGAGCAATGAGATTAACATACTATAGGTTTAACAAAGGATTAGGAGGGACAAAGGGTGGCTTTGATCCCTCCCACTGGATTAAGCAAGGAAGTCACATGGGGGGAGTTAATGGTCGTTAGGGGGTTCTGGTGGGTGGCCTATATGGTGGTGTTAGACATAGACTGAGTAGGTGTGAACAACCTAGTAGATTTAGTATAAACCTCTATAAACTGCAGCTAAAGAAAATCTGGCAATGTGCATGTATGAGCCACAGCGGCCAATAAGCCGCTGATATCTACTCAACTGTCACCCACCAAACCTCTAGAGGGAACTCTACATATCGCCCGTAGAGTAGGGAAGAAGAATGCGAGATCCTGTTAGCTTGTTTGCTCACTTCTAATGAAAGATGGGGCTTCTTCAGTTCTTTATATCAGCTCTGCAGGAGTAGCGAAGTTTCATGCTTGACAGCTTTAACGGGGCAAATGAATGTCAAAATTTGTAAATTTGCGACATTTGTAATCCGCGGTTCCTGCTGCTAGCAGTGCTTGTTCTAAATGAAATTTAGCCCCATATTGTTTCATTTCTAGTGTTGTTTTTCGTCCCCTGCTGGTTAGGAAAAATCCACAGAAAAGCCAAAATTTGGTCTGAGGTGCATGGTTAAAGTATGGGGAAAAAGTAATAGCTTATAGTTCCGAAAGTACAGTATGTCTTTCTCAAGGTCTGTGCAACTGCTGCTTAGCTCTTATAAATAAATATTTTGTCCCGACCAAAGACAATACTAGAAGGAGAACCTGGCTTTAATTGATGTTCTTTTCAATTCAGTTATGATGCTTGAACAGCGCCCACTGAAAAAGTGAGGTTGCAGCTGTAACCATCGCATTTAGTATGTTTAGTAAAACAAGCAGCTTTTTGCAAAGCTGTCTTTGTTTTTATCACTTGTAACATTCTAAGCAATACAACAGAATATTTTTTATAGGTAATCTGTTAATCCATTTTCTAACACGCTTATCCAAGTGGGGTCGCAAGGGGTGCTGTGCCTATCTCCAGCTGTCTACGGGCGAGAGGCAGGGTACACCCTGGACAGGTCACCAGTCCATCACAGGTAAACCAGAAGATATCTATTTTAAAGTATGAGAAAGTAAACGTTGTACATACTGATATATTTCATTTAGTTTTATAGCTTTCTGTCCCTTTCTGCATGTGTTCTATACTTATTCCACGTACCGTACCATTTCCCTGCATTTTACCAGATGTAGTAAAAATAAAACTTATTTTTCTAATCTTTTTTTACGTTTAGTACTGTCATCTTTTGTTTTATATTTGATTGTCTCTAATTTGTTGCATAAATAAGGCACAAACAACTAATGTAAATCTTTCTCTACCAATCACCATTTACCAATTTATCTTCAGGTGATTCAGTTCTTTTCTGTTTTTCAAAATATTCTTTGTTATTTTTTGCAATGAATTCCTGAGCCTTTGAATAATCGGGGGGTTTAATAAATAAAGGGGTTGAATAAAGTTTTATATAAATGATTGTGATATTGACTAACTTGTTTTGGATGGGTTCATTTAAACAATTGTTACCAACATCTAGGGTGAATTTTATATCAACAAAGGTAGAAGGACTTGACAAGTTCAATGTGTATTTAACCCACTATAAGGATTGCAATTCTTAACTTTGAAAAATTTGGCTGATTTTAGGAATTTTCTATTATCTTTAAAGTAAAAAAAAAAAAAAAAAAAAGGTTTTTTATAATCTTTTCTTGAAATATAGCGATCTAAAGGACTTCCCTACCAGCACCTCTTGCTCTCCCTGTGATGAGACTTGACTTGTGTCAAGAAGCAGCTCAATTTCCCCTGCAGGGTTCTGGCTAAATCAGATAGACAGTTTCACAGCTTCAACAGAGACACTTTAATAATACCTTAAAGCTCCCCTTAGACCATGAGACTACATCGCTGTGTTAAACCTATAGCAACACTGATCAAAACATGAACAGGGCTTTTAATCACCAAAGCGTACTCCGATGCTTTTCTATCAGTGTCAAATGGTGTCGATGTCCTATATGTGCAATCATCACTATTCTCTTTCTTGTCTTTAATCTTATCTGTAAGGTCTTAAAAATATATTTCAATAACAGCTTGACAGGGAATCCATAGTAAAACTACATATATCTACCTCAATTACATGTTTCTTATTCACTCATTAGCATTCTTCTAGTCTAGATAATCGTGTGTTAATTACTCTTTTTTTGCCGTCTGTATCTATCTACACTGATGCTTTGGGGATTCATGGTAGCAGTCTATTAGCTGCCTAGAACTTGTTAGAGGGGCTGTGCCATTTGTAAGATGTACATCTGCTCAAGCAGATCAATAGGAAGCATTGGACTAATCAGGTTTTGCACCTTTGCTGATCTTTCAAAGCTTGTTTATTTGTTTATCTGGGGAAGGGTGTGTTGGGCTTTTCGCAACCTAATGGAATGATGGATGGATCAGGGTAGAACAGTGTAATAGAAATGCGGAAACAATGCTGTTTATCCATATCAAATTCCCCAAGTTTGTTCTTTGTTGGATGTCTGCATTCTGACATAATAAATAAAAAACAAAGAATAATTCATGGAAATAATTAAACATAGAAAACTATAAAAACAGCACTCTTAAATAAAGCCAAATAAGTAGTATAAATGCATACGATATTTGACTTTCATTCATTTCGTATCTCATAATGTAACAATCATTTGGTTTTATGAATGTTTATCCTTTATAAAAGTAAGCTATAAATGAATCTCATAGACATTAAAGCTGTAGGATACACTTTATACATTTTAAAATTCACAATCCTTACATAAAATCAATAAAACCAGCTGGTCAATTTGTTTGCAAGAGGTCCCAGGAAGTGCTGCCAAACAAAGAACTCTTGGATCAATAAAGAAAATAATCCTATTTAAACCTTCCATTGCTATATGGTCTCAGTCAGCTTAAATGACATGTACCTCCTCTCATTATTTGAGTCTTAAAATATATTGCATTTGCCTGAAACCCAATACCTGTTAATTAAAATTTAAGGCAGTAATTAAAATTTTGGGGCCTAATCTTCAGAAGGCTTGTATTTCTTAAAACAGGTGCAAATATATATTTTACACACAGAGCAAATCTTCAGCAGTGATTCAGCAGACAGTGTGCGCAACATATTTTTTTGCATTTGTGCCTTCATCAATATGTAAATCACATTCTAATGACTAACCCACACAAATTCCTGGGTGGAGGATATGCAAATGCCAACATCTTCCACTAAAAGCGATTTTTCAAATCTGAAACTCAACATCATTCGCAGTTTTTGCGTCTTATTTAGTACTTCTGAAAGTCAGGTGCAAACTAACAGGCATACATTTTCTTTTGTCCATTCGGCAGCCAGGAAAGCTTTTTTAGAGAACTGATTCATAAAAAAGAAAAAAGAATATTTATAGCTCTACTCAGGAACAACTGTATTTGCTATAACAGCTATTCACACAAAAATGGAAATAATTCCTAAAAAAATCATCAAAAATTTGCCAAAAATCTGTGCTTTAGCTTAATTAGACCAAAGGTAAATAATAGAGCCGAGGCAGAATTAAGCGATCACCAGTGATTACTCAGAAACTATCAGGCCTCATGGAAATCCCATAGATATCAGAAGTAGAAATATGCTGTGAAATGTTGGCTCAGAGTGGCACTAATTTAGTTAGGATACTGTGAAACATTAGCTGAGTGAGAGATGCTCTTTCTGAGTAACGTTTTGAGAATGCATAGATCACTTATCTAGCTTGGAGGAAACCATGGCAACTATTACAAAATGGAATATGTAAAGGGGGTGTAACAAGACAAAAGCTTAAAAGGTTTTACATTCACAATTTTAAATTCAATCTTTGTTTTTTTAAACTTGTGAAATAAAAGTAAATTATTATCATCTGCAATTTAAAGCTTTAGAACTAACTGGCAATCGGATGGGATTTATTTATTAAATCATTTAAGAGGCATAGCCAATGCCTGGAAACATAGATTATACAATAATGTTATCATATAATAACAGCCAATGTTTATGTTTAGAAATTTAAAACAAGACTGTACATTTTTTAGTCTACCTAACGAACTGTACCTAAATGCAGCATGTGCAGCTATATTGAAAATACCTTTTCACCTAAACAGACATGTTTTCAGTGTAATAGTTGAGTTTAGCAGCATCAAAAGCTTTTATTGTTTCCTAAAAGTGATGGCTAGCAGCAATAAATGCTGTTTTAGTTTCACCTTTTAAATAATCACAAAACAGATGTGTATTACTGTGTTTGTGCTGGAGTTTTTTTTTTGGTGCAAACATAAACTTGAGTATGCACTGTTATGATGGACTATCAGCGCAAAGGTACAGTTTTTTGTTTGTTTCTTTAAATCGAGACTTAAGTCTTAATATTATGAAAACAAAGTCCTAAAATTACGAGAATAAAGTCACAATGACAATAATGTCCTAAATTAAAGAGAATAAAAGTATGACAATAAAGTTGCAATGAGAATAAAGTCATAAAATTACAGGAATAACGTTGTAACATTATAAAACTAAAGTCGTAACATTACGGGAATAAAGTCAAAAGATTATGAGAATAAACTCATAACATTATGAGAATAAAGTTGCAAAATTATAAGAATAAAGACGTAACATTACGAGAATAAAGTCTTAAAATTACAAAATGAAAACAAGAAAAACAAGAATAAGGTCTTAAAATTACAAGAATAAAGTCGTAACATTACAGGAATAAAGTCAAAAGATTATGAGAATAAACTCATAACATTATGAGAATAAAGTAGCAAAATGATGAGAATAAAGACGTAACATTAAGAGAATAAAGTCTTAAAATTACGATAGTAAAGTCATAACATTTCAAGAATAAAGTCCTAATATTACGAGAATAAAGTCATGAGATTATGAGAATAAAGTCATAAAATTATAAGAATAAAATCTTCAAACTACGAAAATAATGTCATAATATTATGAGAAAAAAGTCATAAGATTACGAGAATAAGGTCATAAGATTACGAGAATAAAATCATAAAATTACGAGAATAAAGTTGTAACGAGAATAAAGCAGTAAAATTACGGGAATAAAGTCCTAATATTGCGAGAAAAAAGTTGTAATACATGACAGCTCCTACAAGAAGCACTTTCTTCTCTAAAATGGGGAATGTTAACCATCATGTGATATTATACTTTTGCATCGATTTGACAATGAAGGAAATCTTTTAGCCCAGCAGCATCAAATTAGGCAGTAGTGGACTCAGTTTGCTGTTTAGTGGAGCTGGCTGGCCATCATATGCTGGTCGAAGGTCGAAGTCTTCTTTCTGAATCTTTTTGTCGTATCATGACTTCATTCTTGTAATTTTTCAACTCTATTCTTGTAATTTTATGACTTATGACTAATGTAACAACTATATTCTTGTAATATTGCGACTTAATTTTCATAATGCTATGACTTTATTCTCGTATTTTAAAAAACAAAAACTCTAGCCTGGCCCTAATACTCCGTCGTACAATGTAGTGTGAGCTGCACATAGAAGGAAAATTGGCTGGATGATTTTCTAAATATTTACAGCATGTGGTGTACATGCATATTCAGACCTGCACTGATTGGTTTTTAGAAACCTTTTCTACTGCAAAAAAGACTCTTCCAACTAGAACCATAACCATGCACAACTGTGTTGGTGTGTTACCTAAATCCCAAACAGATTAAATTAAGACTGAAGTAGCATAAATATTTCTAAGGGACAACCATTTGAGAATATTAACATAAATGCTGTAAGGAAGTCAATTTAGACAATTTTGCTTAATTAAAAATAAAAGTGTGTGAAAGCCCATGCTTTCAAATAATTAGTTTAGAAGGTCTCTATTCTGTTTTACTGATATAATATAACCATGTCCATACCTGCACACATTGGTGGTTTCCCTGACCAGCTACCATCGGACCTACAGGTTCTGTGTTCTGATCCCCCAGTCAAATAGAAGCCAGGCTGACAAGTATAGATCAGTGTGTAGCCAAGGGACGGCAGTTCAATGGCTCTAACATCAGACTGAGCAGGTAGCTCTGGCTGGCTGCAGTGATGGGCTGGAGAGAGAGATAGAAATTTAAAGGAAGCAAAAAGGAGTGACTAAAATAGCATAAATGGAATATGTAGGCAGCCTATTCTGAGTCTTTGTGCTTCATTTTCAGCATGAGAGGCTAAGTGCTTACCAATGCACTCAGGTTGAAATCCACTCCAGGTGAGGTTGGGCAGACACGTGCGTGAAATTGAGCCCTGCAATAAGTAGCCCTTTCTGCAGTTAAAGAACACAGTGCTGCCAATCTGTAACAGAACCCAAGAAAAAAAAAACAATTGCCTTGTTAACAAGGTCAGGTTTTACCCAGGGAACAAGAGCAATTAGAAAAGGTAGAACTATTTGCATAATTCTTTAAAACTGGTTGAGCTGGATGGTATGTAGTGTTATAAGAGCAAAGACGGTTAATGGCGAATTTAAAGATGCCATTTTTCAGACTGAGCCAAATCTGAAAATAATGCACCCTTTCCCAAAGTTTTACATTTAAGCCCTTTTTTTCTTGTGTCCATTATGAAAAGTCTCAATACAACATCATAAATATTAATAAAATGTGAAAACCTTCAAGGAATATAAAAACTTTGCTAAGGTCTGATACTGTACCTTAAATAAGGCCAGGTTTGGCTTACTAGCTTCCCATTAGACTCCATTAGATTTGATTCTGACTCTTTCTGCCTAAGCAGATTAAATAAGGATCAATATAACATTTTTGTAAAGCTAGCTTTGCATTATTTTCACAGTTTAATTTATGTTTCTTGAAAAGAGATTTGAATGATCAGAATTCTCCATCCTTACGTCTCACTCCATGATTAAATCTGTTGCTTCCTTCTATATTTCTATTTGATTATAGGCTAGCTTAAAAATAATCAATAATTGATACAATTATTTCTTAACAGGTTGTGGAATAGTCTGTATGTCGGTTGATTTGATGCTTGCATGCTCATTAAGATACTTCTGGACACCCTGCTATCAGGTAATCAATAGCTTTCTAGTGATGACACATTTTCCCTGGGATTGACATGTGAGGCAGAGCCCAGCCCTTGTAGTGGTGTGCCTAGCTAATATAAACTAATGTAATCATTATACAAGAGCTAGAGCCTTGGCGCTGATCTCTGTTGCCGTTTCTCAGTCTTATTTAGATCTAAGGGTATAGTGGATGATTTTCACGAAATTTTGCATATGCACAATCCTGTACCCGCTCCCAAAAGTGGGAACACCTATTAAACGCATATCAAAACATGCACAGGGCAATTTCTCCTCGTGCACGCTGTTTAAAAGTTGTTGTTTGCATTGCTCATACAAGCTTACTTCCAAAAGAAGATTTGTATTTTTTCCAATTTGTCAGACTCACCACCGGTAAGTAAAAATGGGGATGAGCACATGGGTCGACCTCAAGTAAACATATCACCAGAATGATTGACAATTAGGAGGACCACTTATTTTGATGATCCACCCATAAAAGAACATCCTCCACTATACCTTTAATTTTTAACGTTTAATTTTGTCCCTATTTGATGTTAATTTGATTTGTGATTGCTTCTGGGGTTAAAGAGCCAGAAGAGATCTTAACAGCGTGACCTCCATCAAGGTGCGGCCCTTTTTATCACTTTCTTTCAGCATGCCTGAGCAGTTTACTGGGAGTTAACTATGCTGTAAAGACTCAAATATACTCAGAATATTTTGGAATCTTCTAAGGAAGGTTAAACAGGGTTGATGCTTATTCTTATACCATCAGTGCTGCATTAATCAGTGACTCTTATATGCAGACTAGGCTGATGAAAACAGCTTACATTACAAAATAAAGGGGAAGTATAGATTGTAGTACAAAGGCAGAGGAAAAGAATGACCTTTTCAAATTTAATTGGATTTTTTTGTTCAGTATATCAACTCCATTTCCTGTGTGATAACATTTTCACACCTGGTAGCCTTGGCTGTTGTTCTGATTTCCAAAGAGCGGAATGCCAGGGTCCCCACAGGTAGTGTGACTTGGATCTGAAACGAACAACAAACTCTAGGAAGTCTCCTATTTGATATACATTATTCCAAAAGCTTTTCTACTTTGATCCCTTCATAATGTTCCAAGGCTAAACACTTGCAGCATGAGAGGGAAGAAAATACATTGTCAGAATCAATATGATGAATCTTAGTTGACATGTACTGTACAGCAAAAAGTGTTGTGACAGCAGCGTCATGGCTTTCCCTGTGCGGCCTAAGCTCCACCTTATGATTCAGTGAGGATTACAGGAACAGACAGAATAAGCTGATGGATTTCTAGAACATGTCTACTTAATGCTTTTGAAACTCCTTACATCTGCTACAAAAAAAAAAAAAAATCTGATTTAAAAATGCCATTTTATATTTCATTATGTAAGCTTTGATATTAAAATGCATTTGATGATATAATAACAAATAGAAATTCTTCTTTCACAGCACTCTTTCTTTCCATGTGTTTAAATAACATTTTGTGTCATAAATGGTGTAAGGAGCATTTTACTCTAATCATTTTATGTGAAATGTTCAGGCATAACTCAAATGTTATCAGCAGAATGTTAGAAATTGAAACGTCACATCACAAAGATATGGCTAAAGATGTAAAAGATGCAGTTACTGCTATAAAAAAAAAAGTTTAGCACAAGTTTACCTACTATTTGTATAGGGTAAAATATTACCCCTGGAGTTTAAAAGTATTTTTTACGGCCCAAGAAGCAAATAAATATATATGAACTATGAAAAACAACTGCTTCAAAAATATTCAGTTGTTAAAATATTTGACGGCTTGAAAGTTGAACCTCAGTTTTTAGGTCAATTGTGTGTGGCGTTGATGCACTGCTTAAACTATAATTTTATTGTTTGATTTAATCACAACACATTAAAATTAATAATAATAGTACAATATTAACAATTATTAGATAAATGAAAAAGTAAAGTTCCTGTACCTATGCAGGAGGGCTGAGTGCCACTCCAGGTGCCATCATACTGGCAATACCTCCTAGCTGAGCCAACCAAGATGAGGGGAGGATTGCAGGAGAAAGACACAGATGAAAGATAGGTAAAGCCACGGTCCTCCCTTCTGCCTTGATCCGGCATTCCTGGGTCTCCACAGAATACAGCTGTAACAAAGAAGGGGGAGCGAAGAGAGAAAGTATTACATTAGGAGACCTGCAACACATGTTGAGTTTTAATTAGATTCCCAAGTGGGTAAAATGCATCCTGCAGGATATGAACATGAATACATGGGTTGTACAATCCAGAAATTAATCATAATATGTAAAGTATGTCAGTGGGGTGCCACTTACGGAAACACTGCGGTTTCTCTCCACTCCAATTGCCATTGCCCTGGCATGTTAACACAGTGGGCAGAGATAGCTGGTAGCCTTGGTTGCAGGAGTAACTTATGCTGGAGCCCCAGGTAAGGTCGGTACCAACAACCTGTCCATTGGGGATGAGGGGTGGTGGACCACAAACAATCGCTACAAGAACAAAAAAGAGGAATTTAGAATTTCTTTCCCTCTATCTAGTAAAGAAAAAAAAAAGACATTAATAGAACAAAGATTAAAAACTGTACCTTTACAGAGCGGTTTTGTGCCATTCCAGGTTCGATCTTTGGTGCAGATGAGAGAAGATGCCCTGTCAGCATCCATTGTATATCCAGGAGAACACTGGAAGGTGACGGTTCGGTTGTAGGTAAAATCACTCCCAAATCTGACTCCATTGGCTGGCACACCAGGATCACCACAGTTGATTACTGCAGTAGCAAAATAGGATATAAAACAAACAGGTAAATAATGAAATACATAACTTTTTGCAACATTTTCCAATCTCACTATATTAGTAAGCAAAATGTGTTGCTTATACAGTAAATTTAAACTAAAAAAAGGAAGGGAAAAAAACTGGTAAGGTGGATTAATGGACAGACAGATTGATGTTTAGACGACATGTTTGAACCAACAGATTAAGAATATGTTTCATTTTTAAAGGTATAGTGGAAGATGTTCTTTTTCCGGGTGCATCATCAAAGTAAGTGGTCCTACTAATTGTCAATTATTCTGGTGATAGGTTTACATAAGGCCGTCCTGCGTGCTCGTCCCCATTTTTACTTACCAGACAAAGTAAGCTCTCATGCACGTTTAATAGGCGTTACCTTTTGGGAGCGGGTGCAGGGTTGTGCATGTGCATTTTTTTTTTTAAATTCGTGAAAATCCTCCACTATAACTTTCAGTGTAATCAGAAGAAAAGGTTAGACTAGATTGTTGTTTGGAGGAGTTTTCAGTTTCTAACGTGTTAAGAGGATTTTTAAGGAAACTGGGAGATACTTTTCCATACCCAGTTTTCCTATATGGTGCTTAATGTACGTGAACATTTATAATCAAATTCTACTCTTGACAAAAAATTTAATTGCAATGTAAAAAAAAAAATAAAAAAACTCTGTAAAGTATAGCGGAAAAAAGCTGGAGCCTCCAAGTTAAATGTAATTAATTAATGAAAAAAACAAGGTAACATGCTGGTTTTTTTATATTAGAAAATAAAAAACCAGCTATGGAACTGCTGCAAAAAGGTCCACATTTTTGCCTGACTGTACTCAATCCCCCTGCAGGAAAATCAGAGTCAAAGAGCAACAAGAAGAGGAATTTCACTGAGTGACTCAAATGCACTGCAGCTTTATCTGTGAATGTCTACAAAGAAAAAAATAAAGCAGGGGACATGACATCTAGCAGAAAGATGCCTTGGGATACTAAGGCATTGTTAATGTGTACATCCCACGTGTACAACTTGTAAGTAGGACAAGAAAACTAAGCTTCTTTGAAGTGTTGTGCTTTCCCTTGAACGACAAAGCACTTATCTTCTATCAAGCTGTTAGGATGCTTTTAGAGGAAGCACAAAGCCTTCCCAGAGTTGCCTGCATTGTAACAATGACATGAAAAAGACTACAAACAAGCTTTGCCTCTGCATAACAAAGCACTTAAATTATGGTCACATGTCCACCAATTGCAAAATTAAGTTGTATTATTTTAGTTTAGTAAAGACAAAGTTGATTGGAAACTTCAGGACTATTGGGTCACCTTCTCTCATATTATTTTTAGATTCAAACACATAATTTAATAATGGAAAATGTTCAGTCAGTGCACTGTAACAAACATAAACATATGAAACTCAGGTTCTGCAACAGCTTTTTCCCCACTCCCATCAGACTTTTGAACTGTTGAAAACTCTAATTAAGACTCTGCATCACACATGTAAACATCATATTTGCACTACCAACATGGTTATAATCCCTTTAAATAGAACACCACTCGATGTTCTAATGCATTTTGCACAATTTTTATTTATTTGCACAGGACTGAACCTTTCAATATCAATGCCTCATGCATCATGTCTTTAAACCGACTTTCCTTTTTTTCTACACTGTTTACATTCTTGAGTACTGCTGCAACTTTATATATGGTAATGAGCATTTCAATGTTGTAAGCTGTATGCATTGAAAGTTCGTTGTGTATACGGGTCTAAGTCTTTTATATTATGGACCAGCAAAGAGTAAAGCATTAAGCTGAAATGATACATGTTTTTTTTCTGTGTAATGATTAATGTGACTTTGAAAAGAGGTATATTAGTCCAGCAGCCTTTAAGTCACCCTAATATACACAGATCACAAATAATATCAATGAAAGCATTGAAATTCCTTCTAATTGATTATGAGTCAGTCACATTTTGTAATAGTGAGCTACAGATTAGGAATTAAGTTAATTTTTAGGGAAATTGCCCCCAGATAAGTTCTGGATGGCTTAGGAATTAAAAGGACTGTTTAAAAATACATTTTGATTCTATGAATAAAGGTAGTTATTATACCTATTATGAGTCAACTAAGAATCCCTAAAATAAGACAAAGTGTAAATAATTACTTTTAGAGGATAGCCAACGTCTTTTAATGAGTTAACCTGTTTATAAACGTATTATTGTTCAATGAAAATGTGAAACTACTTACAAAAGGAGGAAATGGTTCAGAAGGTATTGGCAAAAAGCTGATAAACACTAAACCAAGTCACATTTTTTAAAATTTCTATTGGTAAAAAAAAGTATTTAAAAAGACTCTTAATACACAATGGTTAAGAATAGCCTATTAAAACACAAAGTTTGTTGTTGTAATTTAACAAAACGCAACAGGTTTCTAAGGATGTGAATACAAGTCGGATTCATTAAAGATAATCAGCATAAACAGTTTAGAGAGGTGTTTGTGTAATTACATATTTAATGAAGTGCATATTTGAAAATTGCATCCAAAAAAAAACAAAAGTTCAAATTGTTTGTTTTTGTGTGTAACTCTGCATTTATTTTATCTCATCTGGAAATATGATAGTTTCAGTTTCTTTCTGAGGCATCTTTATAGTGTAATGACCTCTACAGACAATTGAGACACTGTTTGTGAAAAGACTTTTCCCAGAGGAAGGATCAGTATAGCTTTTTGTAGTTAAAATGCTGATAACAAGGTGTTTTAGAAATAGAAACTGTTTTTGAGAGAATGGCCTTTCCAACAGATCCGTTCTGGTACTCTGTTTAGCTCCAGGGCTAACCTAAAGTATCAAATGCATTCCGCAAATACTTTGTGATTCAACTGAACCACAAAAAGGCATAACAAGTCATATCGAAATGTAAAAATGAACTTATAAACAGAGTCCCTTTGAGTCGCTATTGAGTTGTAGTTTACCTGAGCACTCTGGCATATTGCCTGTCCAGGTTCCGTTTACAGTACAGTGGCGGGTAAGCAGTCCAGTAGAGTAGTAACCTTCCCTGCAACTGTAAGTGATTGATCTGGAGAAAGTCAGTCCTTCATGAACGAGGATCTGGGCATTTCGGGGAGTTCCTGGATTTCCACAGGATATCACTGTAAAATAAAATAAAAAAAAACAGTCTTCATGAAATATGAATGGACCAAATTATGTACGACCAGGCCTGAAGGAGTGTTTTGTTTAAAGTAAGCTGTTCAGACAGTTTTGATGCTTCAAAACTGGATTGCTGTTATAATATATCCTCTGAGGCGACCCATCAACCAATAAAAAAAAAACTGCCTAAAGCCTCTAGTAATATAATTGTGTCAAAAGGTAACAAAATTCAATTTATAGGTAATCCGACTGGTCTTTATTTATTGACTGAGATGTTTTCTCGTGCCTTTTATTTCCAATTACTTCCAACGCTGCCCATCTGAAAAGCTTCCTGATTTGATTTGTTTCTCCCTTTTTTCTGCTTCATTTTTCATCTGCCCACTACCACCCCCATTACATTTCTCTGCATCTACACTATCCGCCATTATGGGCATTTCACAGACACATCTTTTACACAGAAAATCCCTTGGTGTGTGTCCAGCCGCTAGCAACAGTTCTGTTCATTACAGTATCCAGCTTGCCCCGGGCCATCAGAACCCCGGGGGCATCGCCCTCCCATCATGACCAGATGTAGCCTGGCCCTTGAAGTCTCTGCCAACTGAGAACAGGTGGACAACCTTGGCTAGCAAGCATAAAACACAGAGTGAGGCATGGGACAGGCATGCTGGGGTAGGGATGAAGGAGTATATAAAGTTGTTGTAAGCTCTACTGGACAGTTCTATAAGATCCAGTAGGCGATAAGTATTTTTCTCACCCATCTTCATGGATGTTAATGATGTAACGCACAAAACAAATATTTAAATGTTACCAGTTGATAGATTTACTGCTACATAACTATCTACACTGCAAAAAGTAGAAATCTAAGAAGGTCATTTTTTTCTTTAAATAAGTTAATCTTTTTGAATTGAGGACATAAGTGAGACGCTTTGCCAATGGAACAAGACAGATTACGTTTAAAATAAGAAAAAAACTGTTGCATTGACTTATTTCAAGTGCATATTATCTAATTATCTTATTCTAAGAGTATAAAATACTGATTCCATTGGTATAAATTGTATCTAGCTGCTCAAATTAAGGGTAAATGCACTTTATTGAAGACATTTTAACTATTTCTAGATTGTTTTTGCAGTGTAGTAATTGGCAAACAAAAGCAAAATATATAAAATGTTTTATTGTTTTCAAAGTTATTTTTTATTCTTTACTCTCAATGCTGCATTAGTATACAGAAAGGGTGTCTTAAAAAACGTTTTTTATTGTCCAACTTTATCTAAAGAACATTTAAAGTTGTTGGTATAGTGAGTTATAAAACAAGTTTATAACTTAAAATATAATGTGAAACTGTTTGGCTGCACTTTGTTCTGTTTTTAAATATAATGTTATGGATTAAAAACTGAAACGAAGAAACATCTGAATCTTTATTTGGTGGGTAAATGTTACCTTCTCTGAATAAATAATGTTTATTACCTAATTTCAGGTATTAATTACCTAATTTCAGTGAGTAAGTAGCTTGTTCAATAGATACATAAATGTGAGGTAAATTTTACCCAATTTATTAACAGTAAGTATTTCATATCTTTATATTTTACTTATTTATAAACCCAACATATGAAATTAAATCTACGGCAAATAAATCAATGCACCTTGTTACCTCAGATTTATTTGGGTAAATTCTATAGATTGGTTCTTACAGTGTACAGTACTTACCCGTATGTAGAGAATTCAACATGCAACACCTGACATGCACCTTGTGGTTTGATTCATTATTTGAACATGTCGATATCAAAAGTGGAAATAAAGTATGTTCAAAAAAAATGTACAAAATTGCAAAAGTTCTAAAAGTCTTCGGTTTTCTACTTAACAGATCTCAGGTAAAGAAAATGTACAAGGCAAACGCAGGAAAAATTATACAAATATAAAAAAATAACTGTAAACAGAGGGAATGTGACCTTTTTACGCATCTAAATACACATTTTCTGATATTTATAAAGTCCCTTGTGATAATTTACTCTAGACCATGATTCATTTTTCTATGTCATGCCCTTTATCACTCTGCAGTAAATCCCAAAGCAGAACATTTAATGCTTCATTATGTTGTGTCTCCTACTCCAAGTGTCCAAATTAAATAAGTGTACACACTCTTAAAAGAAAGGCTACACAATAAATAATTCATCTTCCAATGGCTCACCAGAGCTCAGAGCCATTGGAAGAAACCTCAAGGTGAAGTAACAAAGAAAAAAAAAACCTCTATAGCAAATAAAGAAGGATTTCTTACCATGACACTCTGGTTGCGTTCCCAGCCATGTCCCATTGGCAAGACATGTTCTCTCTGGTGAACCCTTAAGAACATAACCAGGTTCACAGCTGAAACGTACAACACTGCCCACAGCAAATTCATCTCCAAGACGGATGCCATGAACAGGTACGCCTGGGTCTCCACATAGACCACTGGATTCACCTAGAATGATAAAAACAAATCACATATAGATAACAGTTAGAAATAAGCTTACTTCGAAAATAAGTTTCCCAAACTAGTGCATAATTGTGTAACTGGAAGAATGGACTCATTTATTTTCCCATATAGATGCAATGATACAATCATAATTTCCATCTTCCCTTATGATTTATTTAACATCTAAAAATGTCTTTACGTTGCACAAACTTCACAGTAAACATATGCTTTCAATTTACAGCTATATTAAAAAAATAATAGAGCTTTTTTCAATATCTCAGAGTCTTTTATTAGTAAAACTAAGAGCTACTATGGTAACCGTTTGGTTAACAAGACAATTAGAAACATTTTATTATCATATAGAGTGGCTGGCAAAGTAAATAATAAATGTAAAACGCTTAAACTTAAATAAAACAATTTATTTCATTTTTAACACATAGACTAAGGTATTTTATTGGGATTTTTTAATGTTTGACCAATTTAACATAATATTGATGGATGATAATACATAGCTTAGTAGTGCATATCTGGAAAATGTGTTCAGTCCTTTTTTCAGATCCACTGAATTAAAATCCAGTGAAATTACCTGCTGTCAGAGGATAACAAATAGTTAATCAATACATAAAGTGTAAAGAATAAATACTGTGCAGAGGTTTCTTAAAGAGAGAAAAGCTGTTTTTGGTACATAGGTAAGAAGCAGGAGGAAGAAGTTGCTCTGCTAAAATCAGAAAAACATGAGCAATCTTCTTACAGATATGAAATAAGCTATAACTCTGAACATATGACTACCACAGAATTTTTTTAAATAAAAATTACAATGTTATGTTGTTGAGACAGTATACATAAATGCATGAATATGAATATATGGATATGCATTAAAGGAACTTGGTTAAACAAACTAAATGCAGAAAATACCTGCAAGAAAACTACTTATAGAAGAGAAGACTTTAAGATATATAAAAAGACTTAGAAAAGATATATAGAAAATACATGATTTCTAAGAGTGCAGAAATCAAACAGATACCTTAAGACTGTTAAGGTTAAAGCTGCAGCATGAAAAACAGTTTTGCAAAATGTCGACTCACGGCTCTTGACTTTTCATATTTTATATATTGAACCTTATGAAAACCATGCATATTTTTTCTTACCAAATAAGTCAATGCACCAATTTATAGTAACATTCCAAACCATAAAAAAGTCAAGGGGCATAAGTAAGATGTTTTGTCTTTTTCAGTTGGATTTGATATAATTTAGAACACCATTGGAACATCCAAAGGATATAGGTGAATATTATATATATTGATAATGAACTATAAGAGTGATTTTTATGAGTCACACAGCTTGTAGGCCTGTTTGTACAACTTTATACCTCCCTGTTTGTTTACGCTTCGCTCCCATCTGTTTAAATATGCATTTGCATGTATGGGGACGCCTGGGTCGTTTAATCTGAGACTCACTAGAGCCCTGAAGTAAAACTGTTGTTGGAGCAGAGTGGTACGGAGGCCTGTGTTTGTATACTGCTTCATAAGCCAGCATTTATGTTCCTGAGACTAATGAGAGCAAATTAAAACCAGTTTATGGAGGAGACTCAGTTTGCCCTTGAAGCCTGTGGAGCAGCCGGGTAACTCCATCTTTAGTCCAACTGTTTTGTAAATATACCAACAGATGCCGCTCAACATCTTCATTTGCTGCTCGTAGTCTGTAAAGGTATCAATATAAATGACAGGTTGATATCCCAACCAATTAGTGAAGTGTCAGATGAGCATTTGAAATGGGATGATGGCTCACTTTTACTTGTTTAAGACCCTTATTCAAGGACATATTTTAATCTTGACTTTTCATTATCATAAAATGTCATTTGGACCATTATTGTTCTTGAAAGTCATCTTAGATTTAGTCTTAGTCTCCAGAATGAAAACTATTATTAGTTTTAGTCGCATTTTAGTCATTACTATATGTGATTGTTTTTGTCAGTTTTAGTCAACTACAACTAAAATAGGTTTTATTCTAGTTTTAGTCAGTTTTTATATCAAAATTCATAAAAAAGTGAACCATTACAATTTCGAATAACAACCAGATTCTTTACCAGACTGATGGATCTTGCCTAGATACTACAATTGCTGTAGGCAGACAACTTTGATTTAAAAAGAATTTTTTAGAATTAGAATAAACTTTTTTTAGTGAATGAATGCCCTAATTTATGCAAAAGTGTCTCACAAAAGTTGTAAAAAAAGCGGATCTAGTTCAACAATCATATTGGTTAATATAGCAGACTGACAAGCAAATGAAATGTACAATAAAGGAAGGGTTTAGACACACAAGGTTTCCATCCTGAAGCAAACACTTCCTGATCTACTGTGAATTATGCATTACATACAAAACAATCGTCATTGCTCCCAAAAAGCAAAGAGCATTTAAATTTATTTAGATTTAAATTTAGGGTTTTAATACTTAAAAAATACACAGACAAACTACATAACTGCCTTAAAATGCCATGGGAATCAGGACCTAAATTTCAAAAACATAATAACTAAAATATTGAAATGTTCAAATAGATGGAAACAAGAACTAGACAGAGAAATATTAAAAGAAATGTTCAAAGATCTACAGTATGTACCTTTTCACATGGCTCTTTTTCTTCTTTATCTTTAAAAATAAAAAGTAAGAAATGAAATGTTTTCTGGGAATATAACTTAGGGATTACTTTTGGTTGAAGTTAAAGTAGATTTAGCATTGCCTCTTGTAAGCTGGAAGAAACAAAATCTTAATAGTTAAAAGGATTTTTTAAGCTTAGCAGATGATCAGCCACATATAGTTCATTAAGTAACGAGTGCAGGAAGAGCCATTCTCAGGAAGAGCAGATGTAGAGTGTGTCCAAAATACACATTTCTGCAGAAGCACAGCTTGAAGAGCAGAGTTGGTCAGAGTTCAGTGCGCAGTATCGGACCACTCCGGATTACTTTCACCCATGTCGCTGCTGCCATGTTCCATCTGTAGTCATGCAGAATGTCCACTGCTGAACGCCAGGTGGTGGGTATAACCAAAATGGAAGCAGCAGCATGGCTGACACTGCTTAGCATGTCTAACAGATTACAGCACAAGGATGTATTTTAAATGTCTGACAGACCACCTGCTAACATTTTTATTTCGTCTTGTCCCGTCAACAAAATCTCACTCCCATGATTCGTCATGTTTTCATTATCAAAGATCCATGTTTAGCTTGTTAGTTCTCATTATCGTTATAAAAAAGGAGCATCAACGTAATAATTTCATCATCTTTGACAAAAACAACCCTGATACAGAGAAACAAAGATGGGATGGTAACTTTTCGTGACCTCTTGATCTTGGTGTATCTTCCATACCTGAGCAGTGTGGTGGCGAGCCGCTCCATTGCCCATCCAGCTGGCACATTCGGGTAGTGTTTCCAATGATGTTACGTTGACCCATGCAACTGTAACGGATGACCGAGCCCACCGTTCGACGGTCACCTGAGATCTGGGCGTAGGGAGGCATGCTGGGGCGGTCACAGAGCACCACTGTCCAATCAAAGAGGAGAAGTAAGGAGACAAGTGCTAAGTAACTTTGATTCAGTGTAATTATTCTATGTGTTTTCAGCAAAAATATCAATATTGGTGAGTTTAGCTGGATGTTTGGTAACTTATAAATCTTTTTTTTTTCCCCTAACTGCTGAACCAACTACTCCAAGTCAACAATACTCTTTGGACTGAAAGTTGTTTCTGCAGGAAGAGAAGCTAATAATTTTTGCAGCAAGTGAAAATTGTAAAATGTCGTCAAAATAAACACAAAGGGTCTAGAAAGTTTTTTAAAATGAAACTATTTTCTGTGGGGAACGATGGCGGTTGATTTAGACAGCTGTGACAGAGAGCCAGCTTCACACAAACCAAAACCCACATTCAATGCATATAGTTGACATGCAGCAGCCCTCAATCAATGTTTATAAAACCCATCCCTCTATCGCCTCTTATTTTGAAGTTACATGATCTACTCTATTTTTCCTGTGTCTGACGTTCTTTCTGGATCATCTGGTTTTTAGAAATTGACTCATTTTTCTCTTTCATCTGTCACAAAAAGACTTAATACACGTCTGACTGACAACAGAGCTGAGCTGTCTGTCATCCAGCACAGCCGTAGGAATTACCAGACTGATCAGAAAGGCTTTTATTTGGGACCAAACGGAGGACACATGCATGAAGGAGTCTGTGTGAATGAGGGGTTAGAGGTCAAGAGCTGCTGGTCAGCCTTCAATCAGTAGAAAGGTTGTACTTTTAAAGGTATAAAACAAAGCTGTCTGTCAATGGATTACCAGATACAAGGAGGTTTGAAAGTATAAAGCAGTTTCTGTTTATTATTATTATATTTAATCTTTGGAACTTACTGGTTTTAAAAATATAAAATAAAAAATAAAATAAAAAAAGGCTCTCCCTCTACATCATCTCTCATTGTACTCATGCCTCCTTTGTGGCCGCAATGGCAGCAGAAATATGTCAGTTTGCAGCTGAATTCCAAACATGCTAAATATAGAGCCCAAATATGCACCCATGATTGCTCTCAGGTTTGATATATAATTTTGTGGGTGTTAAGTATTTTATTTGCATATCTTCTACCCATGAATTTCACAGTTTGGTCATTTAAATCTGATCTGCACATTAATAAAAGGCACATACAGTACACAAAAAAAGTTTGCATGACCTGTCCCCTGCACAGTCACTTTGCACCTCATATCAGGATCTGCTCTGCAGGTGCAAGCAATTTGAACAGACATAGCAATTACAGCCAATTAGAAATAGTAACAATGAATCATGCAAAGTGTAGAAATGGCTAATACTTTAAGGAGAGTTTAAAATGTGAACTCAAAATATTGTCTTTCATCAGGGGATTAAAGCATTAAATATGCTTTGATGTAAAGAATTTCTACTCTTGGAAAGAATGCCAGGAACAAAAACATAAACCCTTGTTAAATAAAATTCTTTGACATGGACAAAACAAGCAAAACAAAAAATTATCCATCTCTATTATAGGTTTTTTTTTTTTTTCATTAAAACCTGCATTGTGTTTTACAAAGTGCTTAAAAAATACCTGCTGTCATTACTTACATAGGCATTTGGGTAAGGAGCGGTCCCAAGTGCCGTCCCCTTGGCAGGAGATGGAGCTGGTGCCCAGCAGATAGTAGCCAGGGTTACAGCGGTATGTCACCGTTGTCTGGAAGCTGTAGCGATGTGGCCCACTGGACAATACCTGCCTAATGCTGTTCTCCACATGGCCTGGCTCTGTGCAGTTCACGACTGTGGACATTAATCAAGAAGAAGACATTGAGAAAGGGAGGACAATTATGCATAAACACCTCCATGAACAGAGGAAATATTTTGCTTAAATCATATTAAAATATAAAAGCTTAAATTGGATATAATAACTGGCTTTAATTACACACAGTGAAATCAAAGATTTGCACCATTAGCTGTATTTTACTGCAGGCTAAAAAAACAACCAGCTGCTGGAGATGTAGAATTTATGGGTAGCCTGGCAAGGAAATATAAAATACCACCTAGGAATACAGTGTATTTAAATTCTAAAATTGTGTAAACCACTAACAATCACAACCACATCATCTTAGAATGAACCATTACCTCATTACAGCCAGCAAAGTCAGAGATGCTATTTAGCCTATACCTATGTGTATACAGTGATGCCAAAGCGCTAATGGTTTCCAAAACACACTGAGAGTTTCCCTGCAGCTATTACAGCCCAGCTTGCCTTTCCAGCCTCTCTTCTTTAAATGTGTTTTTGCTGCAGCCAAACTGAATCTACTGTATGCTAATGTGTGTAAAAGCCTGCTCATTTTCATGCTCCCAAGCTGTCCAGCTATGCTAAATCACCCCCCAAATATCTTTCATAATGTATTCCTCCCAGTAGAGTGTTGATCTGTGGTGCCATCATTTACAACTTACTGCATAATAACTCGACAAAGTGTATTTGAGACTGTAGGGCTGTTTCAGTGAGGTTCATGCGGAGCTTAGAACTTGGCTTTCATTTATTATGCTCGTGCATCGTGGGCTGAAAAAGGCCTCCAACGGTTGTCTTAACTGGCTGACCTCCTGGTAAATACCTGTTTGGCCCCGTGTGTGTGGGAAGGATATGAATGAAAGGGAAAAATAGGTGAGAGGGGAAGCAGAACTGAGGTATTTTATTTTTGTGTTACATCCACATCCGAGGCGAGACTCATCAACCTCTTCTCTCTGTAGGTTATGCACCAGTTGCTTCATCATAGAGACACTTCTCTGTATAGAGCTCAACCCTTTTACCTTAGAAATATTCACACGTTCTTGCATAAAAAGCTTCCCCACGGCATAATGCTGCCACCACCATGTTTCACAGTTTGGAGAGTGGTATCAGGGTGATTGGCAGTGAAGGCAACTTGCATCCAGCCCATAAAGTTAATTTTCATCTCATCTCACTAAAGCACCTTCCTTGCAATATTTGCTTAGTCTCCTACATGAGCTGTAATTTGTGTTTCTTCTGACTAATAGCTGTCCATTTAAAGTCCTACACCTGTGCAGCAAATCTCTGTAGCTCCTCCTAAATGGGGCTGTTGAAAGCCACTTAGTTTAGGTGAATTACCATGTTTCAACAGGTCTGTCCTTGTGCAACTTTTAATGTTTATAACGATAAATTGAACATTGTACATCTTGGATATTATTTTGTCATTTATTAGCACTTTAAACTTTTTCTGAATTGTATCCCTGGTTTCTGCATCCCCTGTGCTTTTTGGAGCTTTTCACTAATTCTCTCTGTTTCTCATGTGTTTCTCTCCCACTGAAAGCTGATACTAAAGAGTGAGATTGGATGAAGCAGATCCCAGCACAGTTTTGTTGATCAAGAAGAAAGAGCGAGAGCCACACTTTACCAAACGTGTCACAATAGCTGTAATTAATGTAATAAATCTGACTGACAAAAAAAAATAAAAAACGCTTGTAAGCTGCTTATGTCTTCACATCAAAAGTGAGGATAATAGGCATCAAAACAGCCACTCACAATCATCCACGGACACACATGCTGAGAAGCACACAGTCTTCACATGGAAAGTCTGTGCTGAAATGAGGCAGATTCTTTTATGATGTCAGTGTCTGGGAGGAAATCTTTATATGCCTGCACTGTGTATGTAGCAGGCAAATGAAATCTCTTTGAATAAAAAAACGAACCAAAGACGCCACCAAGATTTATAATCTTCCCATTACTAAAAGAAAGAATTAAAAAACACCAAATCTCTTTTCTTATTCAAAACAAACTGAGGAAGTCAATCAGTCACTTCTTTTGTCACAGCTTATCACGTTTAAGGCCTGATTGCTCAAGCAGCTCATGTCTATTCCTGTCATGTAGCCTTCAGATAGAACCAACTTATACATACACATGAGCCCTGAGATACATTCCTTATTTTGAAAACAATGGCAAATTAAAAGACTTTGCCTTATTCATGCAGAGTAGAGCTGAGTAATTCCTAATCTGAACAAAACCAAGATGTATGTCTCCACAGGCGCCTGTCTTTTATGCAACCTCAAGGTTTTCAGTGATTCTCTTTGGATTTGTCTCTGCATGGCTATTAACCAACATTGTTTCCGTGGCACACGTGTGTGCCTTAGGGGATGATGGAGATTGATAGGGGTGAGAGGAAATAAAGCCAATTGAAATATTATCTGGAACCTCCACAGACCATATGACTGAGGCTAGTGCAATTAAATAAACTTTAATTTTTCATTTCAGCCTCACATAAATGTAAGTCTGTTAAATCCCTTGTCTGAGGGTTGACCCTTGCTTCGTCTGCACACTGTGATTAAGGTTAACTGTGGTCAAAGACTATATTACTTTACACATTGTTTCAGGTAATCTAATACTTATGCAAATGGGTTAACATAAAAAAGAAGGTCATACGTCCCCATGTTCTTAATGTTCAGTTTTTTTTAGTTAGGTCTATATAAAACAGTTTCTCTAATAATGTAACCCAACAAATCCTGTATATAACTTTGTTTTTGGATTAATGTGCCTAACACAAAATAATAATGTGTTCAGAGAGGGATAACGATTTTTAAAAAAAAAATGCATTTCTATTCAGCCCCTGATAGTTTTATCGACAACCAAAAATCACATTGCACATTTTTCACTCCATAAACAGCCTAATCTAAGTCAGTTTAAAAGAAAAGCCTCTAAGCAACAACTTTCAAGTTTTGCCACAGACTCTAGGACAGTTTTATACAGTATTTACCTCCATCAACCATCTAAATAAATTGAATATCTTTTTTTTTTTTTTATATATATATTTCGGTTATTTAGATGGAAATTTGTGACATTGTGGTAGAAAAAAAATATTCCCATTTAAAATTTATGCTCCTAAAAACAGTTATTTTTCAATAAAACATTTTTTTTTTATTTTTTATTTTTGTCAAAGCAAAGCATCATGGCAAAATGATGCAACCACTGCCTTGCTTCATCGAGGATCTTGTTCATGCAGGGTTGTCTGATACGATATTCAGGCTTCAGATTTTTCATTTTGCAGAATCTATTGCAACCTTAAACTCCTTCTTTCTGCTGTGTTCTTTGGTCTTTATAAAGTAGTTTGTTCACTTTGTTCATTCTTCTGTGGCAAAACTCAGGGGACCTTAGAGAAGGCTGTTACTGCAATTTAGCTGGAATATTACTCTTCTGGTTTGCAGTGAGTTGTTGAGTTATGAAGCTAATTCGCAAGACAGGAATGTTGAAAGGAGTATAAGAAAAAGGAGATTAAAACAAATGCATTCTTTATCTTTAAAATACAGTAACTTTAATAAGTTCTGTCTCCATAAATCTCAATAAAACAAGTTGCAGCCAGTGCATAAATCTGAAAAAGTTCAAACTGTGTAAATATTTTTCAAGAAGTCTCTAAATGAAAAGAAATTATTGTTTCCATTTTCAAGATATGGAAACACAATATATTCTAAGTTATATGGTTCTAAGAAAATTATACTACTGTTTTCAAGCAACATAAACAATCTTCTATAGTTTTCTCATTTCTTTAATCCTCATAACACTACTTTAAATGGAATGAAAATCTTTGCACTTACTTTTACACTTTGGTAAGGCATTGTTCCATTGTCCGTTGGCCTGGCACGTAGATTTAACAGCCCCATGCAGAACATATCCAGTATTGCAGACAAAACGCACAACATCGTTTAAGTTGAACTGGGTTCCTTGGGTCAGGCCAAATGATGGGTTTCCAGGGTGGCCGCATGTGATGGCTGGGAGGGTCAAGAAACAGATAAAGTCATCCTTTAACTTTAGAAATTTAACTCTTGCTTGCTTTAAACTGTGGAAAACATCCAAAACAATGAAAGCCATAAGAATGATCTAAAGAATCAGAACTTTTCAACATATCACCTCCTCCAGAGGTGTTTGGAGAGGAAACTTACGAACACAAACAGGAGTATTTCCTGACCAGCGGTGATCCTGTTCGCAGATTCGTACCGACACGCCGATAAGACGAAACCCTGGGTTACATTGGTACACAACGCTGCCTCGAAAGTTGTAATTCTCCCCAATTATTTGACCATTAACTATTGGGTCTGGAGTGCCACAATGACCAGCTGTGAACAAACCAAGAATAGAGACAATATAATATAGTACTTTGTTTCTTTTTAAGTTATTATATTTTTGTACTGAGGATCTCACCTAGACACTGAACTTGTGTTCCGCTCCAAAGCCCATTAGACATGCACTCTCGTACCCGAGAGCCCACCAGAGTATATCCTGTGTTGCAGGAGAAAATGGCTGTGGCTCCATACACAGTCAAAGTTCCTATCTTGTGACCATTTGGTGGAGTACCAAGGTCTCCGCAGGAAATAACTAAAATAGGAGAGCAAAATAGTAGGACCTGATTAGAACGGTTAAAAAGCTGCAACTATAACAAAATGTCAGCTGGTCTTTAATTTGGAGAAAAGACTAATGGAATGGATAATAAAAAAATCCTATCTTGCAGAAAGTGAGCCAAAGGTCCAAAGACCTGCTTGCAACTCTGCAGCTGCAAGGTGCAGAGCACTGATGTGCAAAACATTAATTTTCAAATCAGTCTTAAAATAAAACTGTAAGGATAAAACACATTATCAATTACTTAATTAAATCAGTAACAGTGTCTGCGCTAGTGCATATCATAGGAAATTCATTCCTTATCATGTATTCAGAACATGGGCCAGTTCTAAAGGGGTCCCTGTCCAGAACCGCCCATAGATTAAGCAGCAGAAAGGCAGTAGCTTTAACTTACTCTCACAGACTGGCCGAGGGTCAGGGTAGTTCCAGGTGCCATTTTCTTGGCAGCGAATGATCCTTTGACCCCTGTAGTAATATCCTGGGTCGCATATGAGCATCATTATAGCATCGTATTGGTTTTGAGTACCATAGATTAGTCTCCATCTTCCATGTTCGACAGCAGAGTGGCTGATGTCAGAGCAGGTGGCCGCTGAAGGTAAAGAGAACATTATCCATTCATTTCAGACAGTCAATATCTTATGTCTTAATTAGATAACTATGTTACATATTTATTAGAAGTTCGATGACATCTGGTCAAAACACATGTTCAGCAACATTTTGGGAAAAACTAATCCTCATTTCCTTCTTATAAATTAGAAGAATGATCTAATAAAACACAAAATACATTCATAATCTTTTATCTTATTTTTTCTTCAAACTCAGAAATATAATGATATAGACAATAAAATTTTACTCTTTTACAAGTGTTTATTTTTCCAATGGAGGTAAATTGCGCAGCATTGTTTATCCTTCACCACATGAATTAAGCAATGCTGTGGATATTTTAAATCAATTGCTGGGGTTAGAAAAAGTACCTATGGTATGGGCCTGTTCTTAGTACTACTTTCACTTTCACATGGCGCAAATAATAAGAGCATAAAAAAGAAGACAATCTTTTCGAAACACAGTTTAAAAAAAAGAATTACTCATCAGAGAAACAGATTATGATATTTTCAACAACTCCCAGTATAAACAGTAATACCTGTACCAACAGTAATGGGAAATCAAAGAAACAAAGGATACCAACTAAATACTGTTCTAGTTAAACACTGTGTGCATTGACAAAACTAACTGCAGCAAAGAAAATAAATGTAACATTTTATATGTTCAGAAAACTAAAAAAAAAAAGTAAAGTAATATAGGTGATACAGAAATTGGTGTGTGAAGGATTTAATGAGATAAAAACAGTCAAAGTTATATTGTGATACCTGAACTACGAATAAATGTCGTATGCAAAGTGTTTAAATTGCATTTTCTTTCTGAGAAAATCTGCCAATTATCATATGAATCCTGTCATAGTTCAGACTCAAATATCTGTTAAAATTGTGGATAGTTGAGTACTAGCTTATGTTAGATTTATCTACATCTAATACTCTTCTACATGAAATGTAGGGTGTTCAGAAACAAAAGTGTCAGATATACGATCCTGCAGTGTTGGCCTTTGGACAACTGCATTTATTGAAACAATGAATGCAGTTTTCAAATGGTGATTTCACAAAAAGTGAAAAACTGTAAGAAACAAACATAATTTAATTAATAGCACCCTTTAATTTAACCCTAAGGAAAACAGATCAACAGCTACATTCTATTGACATTGTTTCATTTTAGAAAGCTGCTGAACAGAGAAAAGGATAACTTCACCGGAAGAAAGAGGAAACACTCACGGACACATCTTGGAGGGGCCTCAATGGGGCTCCACCTCCCAGATTCTTGACAGACCACTGAAGTGGTGAGAGGGCCAGCAAGCCGAAACCCTGGATTACATCGGTAAGAGACCCTGGCCCCAAGGGAGAAGTCTTGGCCAACAATGCTCCCATTGACAGGGGCAACAGGCATTCCACAGGACATGACTAGAAATAACAAAATGATAGGTAGATGTGAAGATATAATACAACTTAAATGAATCATTAGAGGAATAATAGCGCTACCAGCAAAGCATAATGAAATTCTTTCTGTGCAGAGACACCAATGCTGATCAATAACCATGGGACACTAATCACACAACCATAAACAATCAAAGTCTCCAGGAAATAAACACAATTTATATGGATGAATACATTTGATATAGAAAAGTTTGCACAATAAATAGCTTTTCTATTATTTTTCTAACTATTTGAAAACAGATCAAGAGGTACAGTTATATGCATTAGATATACATGCTTTTATATCTAATGCAAAATATCGTAGTAGCAAATAAAATAATATCGACCAAGATAGATAATTTTTCTCAACATTTTTTCACTGTCAGTATTCTAAAATATATTGTTTATTCCATCCAACAGCTTATGTCTGCTGAAAGTTTCTTTTCAACTGTTTGAAACGAATTTATGAGTCATTCAATAAATCAGTTATAGTCCCCAAATTCTTTTTTTCTAAAACCGTTTGCAGCAAGACAAGAAGATTTAAATCCAGTAATTGAGATGTCAAAAAGTTTCCAACAAATGAAAGAAAAACAACAAAAAAGTGGTTAAGTAAACTTCCTGGAGGTATGCCTGAGGCTGAGGAGCTGCTAGTGATGTCATGCTGTCAACTACAATCACCCTTTGATCCAAAGCAAGAGTTTTTTTTTTTTCTTTTTCCCTCAATGTGTTTAAACCGGAGAAACACAGCTTACAAAGTAGATTTGTAATGATATTCTGTTCTTCATGCCAGACAGGATTCCAGTTATAAAATGTTTTTCCTTCCATCAATAGTCTGAAGAATGACTTATTAGATAACGTATTGATCAGATGCTAAAGTGATGTGTATTACTGTACATGACAACATGTCCAACTTTCATGATTTTTCACAGGAAAACACGACTGATACGGCCGTCACCTTGGCAAAGTGGCACCGGCGCATTCCACTGATGGATCCCTTGTGCGGTGCGCGTACATGTGGCGCTGGTCTGTCCAATAAGTCGGAAGCCCTGGTCGCAGCTGAAGCGCAAACTGCTGCCTAATTTGGAACCAGTAAGGCTGTGCACTGAGCCATTTACTGGGTTATTTGGAGGGCTGCAGTATGGTGCTGTGAAGAGAAAAGTAAATACATCTTAATGCAAACACACAGAAAATTGACATATTAATAAAAAACAATGATGCAAGGTGATGTAAGTAGCTGATGAGAAGGTGAAAAATGAATGCGTGTTTAATGACACAGCAAAAGATCTCTATTCCATTTTACTGTTGTGCGGAGGGAAAAGGTTAAAGCAAACATTGCTGCCTCGAGACAAGGGAAATTGATTATTGAAAACTAATGTACTGCAAAGCAAAATGAAAGTTTGTCAGCAGCTGTGGATGAGGATAATAAAAGTGATGGATACATAATACTGGGAACAAAGTATCTGATTTTTGTTAAACTGGTAGCGGTAATAATCATTTGTCATCACAAATGGTGCCAAAATGGATCCAGAAGATTCACGAGCCCAAGTGGAATTTAGCAGATTTCCCAATAAGGGAGAAACACTACACAGTCAGCTGCGGGAAGACAGTAACAGCACAATAGAATATGAAAACAGTCTATATTAAAAAAAAGGAAACTGGGTTCATTATAGGCAGAAAATCGTTATGAGAACATCAAATTTCAATAAAAACACAAATATGCCATTTTTACAACTCGCACATGCAAAGACAACTGGAAATATAGCTTTTTTAGCATCAAGCATAAAAACAGAAAAAATCCTTTGTATTATTAAAGAAAACTAAAGCAATAATGATGGTTGAGGTCTGTTAGCCATTAAATCTTTCTTAAACCTCAGTTATTGTTTTTTTAGATAAGCAAATATTTCAACTCTTTTTGAGGGAAATGAAAAGCTGTCAAAAAGGCTTATAGGTACATCTGATATTTGAGATTATTACTAAAGAAATTGGGGTTTGATAACATATTTCGGGGTGGATCATCTTAATAAGTGGTCCTCCTAAATGTCAATCATTCTGGTGATATGTTTCTGTAAGACTGTCCTACGTGCTCGTCCCGTTAGCTATCTTTTTCCACACATGCGCACTTTCAGGGATATATGTCTGTGGTGAGCTACGGTTTCAGACATTCATTGAGGCTCACCTTTCTCACAATGATTCTTTGAAAATGGCAGAGGGTGCTAAGAGAAAAAGTGTTCGCGAAGTTTATGAGAAGAAAAGAAAGGTGTCAGAAGAGGCAGATATATCCCAGAATGCTTTGCACATAGAGCTCTGCTCGCAAAGCATTATAGGAATTGCTGTCACAGCAGCCAGCTGTCACTATAGGCTACCGCTAGCCGACAGCGGCGACTAATGACAAAGATGGCAAAGGCACCACGTGGTGGAGGAGGAATTGCGTTCCCAATGGGGAGCAAAAAATTGTGATCATATGTCCAGCGCTAAGTTAACTTAGTTTGCTATAAAGTCCACTATGAACTATATAGTCCCTGCTCTATATAGTGATTGAGGGATTTAGAGGTCAGGGCGGACGTTCAGGCACAGTACCCTTGTATGAGCTATAAGAACAGCAACTTTTAACCATTTAAAGCCAATTGTATCATTTTTGATACATGGGTTTTTGAGACCTCTACATAGTCATTGTTATATTTTTATTCTTGAAAACCTCGACTTGCACAATAAGTCGCATGTAGAGAACAGAAAACGTTTAAAAATGTATAGAGAAATGCCTTATGTATCAAATTTGATGCAAATAAAAGATCCAATTAAACTTATACAAACTTTCTTTTTGATGTCATGTGTCAGAAAATTCAGTGACAACTCTAATAAAGTGTCAATTATTTTATGGTCCAGGCTTTAAAAGGTTAAGCAGAGTTTGCACGAGGAGAAATGGGCTTTTAAATGCTCTTGCACATGTTTAATAGGCGTTCCAACGTTACAGTATTGAGCATGTGCATTTTTTTTAAGTGGAGAGGATGGGTCTTTTAAAAAATTTGCGAAAATCCTCCACAATACTGTTATTAAGTAATATAAATGCTTACTGTATATACAGTGAACTTAGTGCATATTAACAATACCCACATGTTGTCTTGTGATCTTGTGGATAAACACTACAAAGTTTTCATTTTAAATTATTATAGCAGAAAAAACAAAACAAAAAAACAAGCTGTCATTAATGTTGGTTCAAAATCACAAAGTTTGCAGAAGCTCAGAAAAATGTGTTAAACAATACTAATCTTTTTTTCATAACAGGATGATCACATGCTGGTATATTAACCATTTAAAATAACACAGATTTGTTTTTAAATGTATAGTTTCCCTCATTTTAAGTTTGTGAGAATTTCTATGTGCTTCTGTTATTTAAATGTCACACGATGCAGAGACTAAATCTTTCCCCCTGTTGGAGGTGGATCCATATTTATGTTGTCAACATGTACTGTTAGGGAGCCAAAGTGTCTCTGTACCTTTAAGGCTGCAGTGAAAACAACAATCTGGGAAACCCAGATTCTTAATGACAACCATTAGATGCAGTTGTTCAAGCGGTAAAAATGTCAGGAAAAAAATGCGTCACTATCTTCACATAAGTAAACATATGAAGTTTGCAAATTTGGACTATAATTTGAAGTGTTACAATCCACTTTAGTAATATTAAAGTTACATTGAGCTATTTGGCAAGAAACACTCCTGCTGGATATGCCACAAAAATTGTCTTTATGCTAAATGTCATTGTCAAAAAAAGATAAGGGTTTAGATTTCTGTAGCAGATTTTTTTTTCTACAAAATGTGTGAAAACTTTATCAGAATCTATACAATTATCAGTTTTATACTTTCAAAAACCTAGTTGACTCTACCAATAAACTGAAAACTGAAGTTCTTGGGTCTTTTAAACATATGACGATTAGAAAGATATGAGACAACAACAATTAATCTGCCTACACTGGGGTTCCACTGGATGCAAACCCCAATTCAAGTAATTTTATTTATATAGCGCCAATTCAAAATACATATCCTCTGAAGGCACTTAACAGAGACAAATCAACCAGATAATACAGTCAGATTGATTCAAAGTTTTCTATCTAAGGAAAAACAGCTGATTGCATCGACTCATTGACTCTACAGCAGTCCCTCACACCAAGCATGCTTGTAGCGACAGTGGAAACGAAAACTCCTTTTTAACAGGAGGAAACCTCAAGCAGAACCAGGCTCAGTGTGAGCACCACAGTGCAACTTTGCGTTGGCACTATAGTGGTTTCCCTGTAGGCTTTAAATAAAGGGGTTAACCAGAAAGTAGTTCTAAGACCAGTACTACTGTACAGGTGTCTAGAGTACCTTCACTTTATCTAGTCACCTCATTCATTTGTCTTTGGATCTATCCTGCGTATGTGAGTTCAACTTTTTAGTAGTTCACTTTATTTTATTTTATTCAATGCTCATATTTTGTACGGTTGATGAATAACTATGAAAACAATTGGTTTTTATATGAAGTCGAGAATCTACAGTATGTTTTTCATCAACTGACTTCCTGCCTGAATTATCAACTTTGCTCTAGATTGACATTGAGTTTATGCCCCAAGCAAAAGGGAAAAAAAATGATAATAGAACAAGAATCAGCCTAATCCGGGACACTTTAGAAATGCCACAGCTCACCTGGTGGAAGCAGTGGGATTGACTTGAGTTCCTATGATGAGCTTTGCACTGCTTTTATAATGCTTCTACATTCAGGGTTGGGAAAACCATTGGTACAGAATAAGTACCCCTCCTACTGGCCAAACGGGGCTGTGCATAATAGTATCTGCATAGGTACCAATACATATGCCAATTTTTAAAAAGCAATTATTTTGAATGCAATATTTTTGGCTTTTTTTTATTTTCTTTACATCTTTATGAGGGAACCAATAAATGCAACCAGCTGTCTAAGCCCTTGCTCCATCTGTTTTCCCATTTCTCTTTGCTATCTTTTGCTGAGACAGTACAACAGTTGCATTTTCTGCAATCAACTCTGCAACTTAGAATAACTACGTCTGCAGAGGTTGGTGACTAAATTGAAATGGATAAACAACAAGAGAAAGAGGGATTGAGCGGACAAGGTCAGGCTGACTCTAAGTTGATTGAACTGATGGAGAAAATGAATGTACCTAAGCAGAAAGATGGAAACAGTGATAGATGAAATTGATGGAAAATAACAGCAGAAAACATAGAGAGTGAATTGCAGCAAGACATCGTCTGCAAGTTGTTAGCGGAAGGCCTGCCCTTGGAGAGGAAACACGGATTGATGAGTAGCATGGTTGAATTCATTCAATATATCTCCACCATCTGTTTTCTCTACATCTCACAAAGGTACACCAGAAGGCAATTCCATATTGACCATGGTAACTCCTGGGTTCTCAGGGATCACTTAGTCTATCGTTTAATCTATCACTAAGAAAACCATGAGCGCTAGAAACAAACAATTAAAAAGTAAAATAGGCAGAAAAAAAGGGAGATGACAGAACATCCGGCTGGGGACACAGAAAACTCCACCAAGGATAAGACAATTAGTCAATCTGGCTGAGTGGTGTTGATATAGAACAGGGGGAGGGCTTTTAAATATTTACACAGTCATAATTCAAAGCGAGTTATGAAGGTGTCATATAGAAACAAATTCTTCATGGGAGCAGGACAAAACAGAGGAGTAATAACCAACAAGCAACACATGAAGCAACGCTTACTAATTCCTAGGTCTTGGCACACAGCAAGATGTCGGTGCAGATGCCTGCTTCCCCTATTAGGCTCTGACAGAGCTGGGTCATATTTTTGGCTGTCTAAGGCACAGTTGGCAGCCCAGATGCTGGTCTTAAAGGAAAAGTAAATTAAACACAGGACTAATGAGATCAAACCCTCAACAAGGCCCTAAAAATAACGAGTCCAAAATAGCCTCCGTGCAGCGAATCGATCATGGCGTGATGAGGCAGCATTGGTGAATTTCTGGTCATAACTTACCAGAGTAACGAATGCGGAACCCTTTGTGGCTGGTGGTGTGATCAAAAGACCAGTGCAGGTAGACTTTGTTACTAGAGCTTGTGATGCTCAGCGGACTGGAATAATTACCACTGAGGGTAATGAGGAGGGGGCTCTGTCTGGATGGACCTGGATGAAGACAGAAAAAAAGGACAATCGACCCAAAGTTTCAGAATTTTAAAGAAAGGCTTTTATGTTAATCAAAGCTGATGTATAGCCTGTATATAAAAGTCTAGATCTGTTGTTCTTAAGAGGAATTTGAATTTACATTTTCACATAATTGAATTTTTACAGCTCTTTATTTGTTATGCATTCTGTCTGGTTGCAAGTACAAAGTCTGATGGACTCCTAATTGTGTACAAAAGACGGTTGCACACCATAATTGGCTCAGCAGCCTCAAGGTGAACAATTGCCTGTTCCTCTCTTGTTGGTGTGAGATAGAAAGTGCTAATCAGCATTAGGAGTGTGCATCGCACCACCCTTTTCTCAAAGCTGCGGGGCAGAGTTGCTGAGTTTGCTTCTCATTCAATTCAAATACACAAGGCAGATGCAGATGTTCTGCCACCATGAAAGGAGGCCGATGTGTGATTTTGTGTTAGTTGGGGCAGATAGCTTTGTTACAGACAGTAAATCGAGCTGTCTGGTTTATTTAGGCTTTAACTGTGGCTTGCAGAGAAAAATAGCTTATAGGCAAGACTATGGGTACATATGGGGGTCTGTCAGAGAACATTACAGATCATAAGTAGCATTGAGGTTTTAGTCAATTTCTCTTCATGAACACAAATCTAGAAGAAAACCGTGTTAGTTTAAATTTTTCTGGTGCAAAAGCGACCCACCATCAAAGATTTCAAGCTCATCAAACTGACGGCTTGTCTGAAAGTGTTCAATAGTGAAGGTAATGTTGTAGCCAGGCTCTACTTTAACCACCCAGGAGCATGACTCAAAATGAGGGAAGCCGGTGCCGGGTGATTGGCTCATTATGACCCCCGTGGAAGCGGTCAGCACCTCATTCATTGGACACGTCACTGGGGAGAGAAAAAGAAGGCAAGAGAGACAAAAGAAACTATTATTTCAAAGTACTCAAATAATGATCTGTTTATGCTTTGCTAGCATTGTCTTATAATTGCAGATCACATCTAGTGATTGTTCATTCTTTTTAGTGCTTTCAATTTACCTTGAAGCATAAATTGGATTGTTTAGATTCACATTGCCGCTGAAGAGAAATTCTATGTGACTAAAAGCACAGCTAAGGGTAATTGTCATTCATTTCTCGGTGCTGTCACAGAAAAAGAAACCTAATGCAATTCGGACGAGTAAACAACTTATATTTTATATCATACAGTTGCGGTGAGCACATCCACCATTGTCAGAGTGTGACAGATGTGAAGCCAACTTGGCGGTTAAGTCGAACGTCAGCCTTGAAGCTCTATTGCTGTGGCATGTCTGGGCAGATCAGAAGCATCACCTCATCACATTTCCTCCTGTTTCAACAATTCATCCCCACAAAATATGCAACATTTTCGGGTTGAGCTTCTGTGATCATCCTATCACCTCTGCTTTTGTTCCAGTGCTTTAAAACCGATGTTATTACCTGCTGGAACTTTCAGCTGGCATTGTGGTGCTACCAAAAAAAGCTGTAACATGACAGGGTACTGTTATAGTGACACGATGCAACACTATAAACAAAAGTGTTTATAGTAACCCTGTATCATTGTGGCTTCACTGGGGATAGACCCTGATATTGATTTCCAAACATAGAGGATAAATCATTACTTATTACTCTTGAATGTTATAATTTCTGAATTTAAAACTCTTTTCATGCCCCTTTGACTTTTTTGTTGCTTGTCATCCTACAACCATAAACCTTTAAATTCCATTGGTGTATGAGATAGATCAACAGAAAAGTGGTGCATAATTACAGAATTCAATGGAATGCCTGTTAACAAATGTTCCCCC